TCTGAACAACGGAGCAGACTTTGTTTGCTACTTATTATGGATTTACTTTCTGGCTTTCTTGATGCCACCAAATATGAACCATGTGATCTATCCCCTTCTTTTTCTGAATAAAAACAACATATTTCTGTATCTAAGTGTAAATCATCTGACTACTGTATGTGTCCTCTCATAGCTGTCACTTATAATCAGCAAAGGAGAAACTATAATCGACGTACATTCCATTTGAGAAAAATCCCAATTAGTTTTACACAGCAGCCAATTACAACACAATTATGAATCTAAGGTATGTAATTTGGAAACAAGTATTTCTCTCTGAAGTTGGTGTTTTAGTATCTTTGTTTTTACTAGAGCAATAGATCTCCTGCAGCTCAAGGTCTATGGAATCTGTTTTGAAGTTTATGCCAAACCCAGATGAATAAAGAGGGGCTATTCCTCTGATTTAAGATTTTAAGTAAAAAGTGGCCATAGGTTAACCTGCAGGAAGAGCCCAGATGTTCACGCATGTGATGGAGCATGTAGAACAGGACTTCTTTGGTCCATTTGTCCCACTACACACAGCTCTGCTTCTGATTACTATACGCACATGGCACCTGTACAGCAGAGTCCAGGCAGACACAGTATGTGCAGCTGGGAGGCCTCACACACGGTGCGCTTCAGTGTTGCAGAGAAGAGAGTAACAAATGATGATACTGAATAACCTTCTCAGTGGCACAGGCATGTAAATTACATGTCAAAGTTGTTTGGAATTATAAGATTTGCCACAAGCTAATGCGGCCGGTTTTAAGGCAAAAAACGGCATTGCTTTATGATCATTTGTGTGGGTTTATTCAGAGCTTCATTCTGTTGTGTTATTGGTCTCCAGCTGTTTGCGTTGAACTGTGCACTGTTCCATGTCAGCTGGAATCGATTTGCAACAAGAAGGAAGTAATCTAATAAGAGGGTGTAGTACTGCTGCCTATCTGTCTGATGGCCCCTCTCTATTCAATTGATAATGATAATAATTAAATAATAATAAAAAACTAACATGAATAAACAACAACAACAATCAGGGCCTCCTACTCAGCAGCATCATCCTTTGGGGTATACTTCAATGTGCTATACCGCAGTAAAAAAAAACCTGGCCTCTAGGCTTGGATTGGTCACAACATTACAGCACATAAACTAGCGCCACACTCCATGCAGAGGCCCCATAATTGTTGGACCAAAGAGGATTTCATTTGTTTTTTTTTTTACTTTGCTTCTCTTTCATTTTCTATTGTTGTGAGAAAACTTCATTGCCCCCAATGGAATTTTCTTTTAAAAGGGAAAGAGAAAGAAGAACCAAACATAAAATAGTAAAACTGATAGGGAATGGAGTTGTCTTAGATTCTGCACACCTGTGATGGCAAAATGGAGTTGGCCTCAGCACTATTGTCGAGGTCATGTTTGGTGATCCTTTAGCAGAAGACTTGAAAAACATGGCTGCTGCCCAAGAAGCTGAATTTATACTTCTGGTGCTTGTTAGCTGCGATACTCTCAAATCAAGGACCATGATTTCACTCATGCGGTAATGAAAAAGATTTGGTCCGCCCTGGTTCTGGACAGTTTTAGATTGATGTCACAAACAGCTCCTGAGCCAAGAAATTGTACCTAAACGCTGGTACTGCGCTTGATTGCAACAAATGACATTACCCAGAGTTTTATGATCTTTGGCCCAAGCCGAGTACAACAAGATAATGAGCTGTTTTTATTTGGGCAAAATCGGATAATGAAAAGAAAAGCCCATATTCGCCCTTTCCTGAAGACTACTCTATACTTTCTTCCAAATACAATATAAGGCACATAAATGAGCTGCACAAAAGTCTGGGAAGAATTACACTAATGCACATTGTTGTTGTACTTTTAATGGAATTGGAAAGTATACATTTCCCGCTCATACAGGGCACAGCAGAGTAGGCCTGTGGCTTGTGTACCCCTCAGCCTGTCCCACCAGGCCTTGGCACTCCTGCAGCCTCCCCACAGAGATGGTTTCCTCAGTGTGATAAGCTTTTGACAGGCCCAAGAACAGGCTTCAGCCTGGTGCCAGTTCAACACAAAGTGGCCTGGACGCTGCCAGCTTCTTGGCCTGTGTTGCTTTGTTTCAGGCGTAAGCCCCCTATCGCCTTTTTATTTTCTCCACCCTGTTCTTTCATTATTGTTATGCTAAAGCTCTCAATGGTTAATGTGGGAGTGCTTTGAGGCACACATGTGTCCAGATCATAATTGTACAATCTCCCATTGCACTGGAGGATAAGAGGAAAAGATGGGAGGTCTGCAGTGTGAAGCAAGCTGCAGTATCACTGTGTATGCAATCTCCAAAGGACAGGAAGGAGAACAGCTGGGATTGTCCAGAGCTAATAGTCAACTTTATTAGATCTGATGAAAGAAATGCATTCTTTCACTGAGCAGAAGAAACACTGCACTGCTGCCATCCAGTGTTGCACTCACTACACTACTGAAACATAAACAGTCAAGTCAGAGATGAGTGTTTCCACAAGGATAAATACCATGCCTTTTCCATTTGTGGTGACTTTTACACTGTAAACATTGTCTCAATGAAAAGGAAACATACACACAATGGTTTACAGAGCTTGAAAAAGGAAAGGAAAATGATAATTTCAAGTATTCTAACTGACAGTGATTTGCCAGAGTGTGGTGTTCCAACATGCTGTAGTATGATCAACGTTGTTTGTTTGATTATCACTTGAAAAGAAGGTGTTCTTTAACCAAACAGGTAAAAACTGTGACCTGTAGTATTCAAAAGAAGGGAGATGAGGATAGTGTGAAAATGTATATTTATTACTAAATTATTAGTATTCAATAGAAAAGTTGGGCATAAGCTTTGAGGATGAACGCGGAACTGTTTTTGGGTAAATTATTTGACTTCAGTCCAATAATAAAATCCAAATGTAAAAGAAACAGTCTCAAGTGTTGCATCATAAATCACAGACAAAGAACTTCTCTTGTTTTTACTCCATAGGTTCCTTCACATTTCGCAGGAGACAGCTGCAGTGTTGCAGCCACATTTCATGCCTTCTCAGGCAGCTATCACAGTGTGAGCGAGCTTCCTTTCACATATGAACTTAATGTTGCGATAAGAGAAAGTTTAGCACGATCCTGTCAAAAAAGGATATACACTCACGCAGGGCACTGGTTTTCTTCTTTTTCAGCCACATTTACAGATACCAAACCTTATCACTAAACCTTATTTATGTCATGTTTGGACTAACAGATCAACTATGTACAAAATTACAAATCTCAATCCGATTAGGACACTGTTCTAAAAGGGCCTTTTTGTGATAGTAATTAACTTTTTGTTTCTGATTTAAGTTTAGTCTGTATGACTTCTCCAGACTTTCCTCCAATCCGCTGTTGTGATCGGATAATGGAAACTATAGGAAACGCGATACATTTCACATAATGCATGTATTGAAGAGTGATTATCATTATCCCACCTGCATCCGACTTTCCCGAATCTGGAGATAAAGTGACCACATAATCTGCACTTGTTTTGAGTGTGGAGCTGGGTCTAATTGGGAAGAGGAGATACCGGCTGTAACTATATCTGTGGGAAGCTGCTGTGCTCTTAATTGCGTCTGAAAAATATGACAAATACATCAGACCGTGGAAATGTATGACCTCAGCGAAAAGTCAGACATCAGCCGCTCATTCTGCTGTGGGTCCCATGGTTGACTCTAACACTGTTCTATAGATCTATAGGAGAAAAACTGATTACAGGCACGTCATCTGCAAATAAAATGTACTGAGGGTAAATGAGGGTCCACACAAATGTATGGCCAGGGTAATAACATAAGTAGAGTAAGAAAACATAGACTTGATAACGTATACAATAAGAAAGGTAGAATGAAAGTAAAGCCCAGAACAATGGAGGTGTTATTGGACGTCATCACGACTCTTGAGCCGATCTGATACACCACAATCACATTTCAACATCTCCCTCCAATGCCTCAACAGCAATTATGAAAGGTTATCAAGGAGCATCTAGCAGCCAACTCTGACCATATGAACCCAGCCTCATTTCCCCCCAAATGTGCCCCAGTGTTTGCTCATTAAAACACTCCTTGCAGAGACGGATGGGAACTGTTTGCAAACATGTGCTGACCAAAGCTGAGACTCTTTATCTTCCAGTGCATTTTAGTGAAGTTGAGAAATGGTATTTGCCATGTTGCATTAGCCTGCTGCCTGCTGCCCCATCATCATCGCCTGCCGTTCCAAGCAATAACATGATCCAAATGCACTCCAGATGTCAGAGTCATCAGGCTTCAATATTTCACTATCCAGACATTCATCTTATCAACTGTCACAGGATCCGGTGTGATAACATCTCGCAAGTTCATTTCTTACAAATAGTTTGCTCAGCTGACCATCGCACCATAGAATCGCATGGTTCTTGATATTGCCATTGCCATTGATTAATATGATTTAATTGCAATAAAAAAAAACAAAGCTACATTTGAAGTTCACTTTATTAAAAATACAAACTCTTCATATTCTGTGTAAAGTGATGTTATTCATAGAATTCAAATAAGCATTCTGAAGGAGGACAGAATCTTTGAATAAATTAGCAACGACTGGTTTGACCATGTTTCTGTTTACATCTCCATGACATTGGCCATGCTCCACTGAAGTCAAGGATCCCCAGCTCCAGAAAGCCCCTGTTTAATGAAGAGACATTTTCGTTTGATTAAATGTAGCGTGTGGGCCTCACTCAGGCAGCAGGTATTATACTTCCTAAGAACAGAAACACAACAGCCTCTAGTGGACTGACTGACAGTTAACTAAGCTACTTTTTAACTTGCCATTCAGCCTCCTTCACCGGAGGCAAAGACTCTTTTCCTCTTTGAGAATTGCTTGTCCTTGGAAGGGAAATCCAGTTTGATGGGTTTTGATTGCGAGCTCCAAAGCCTTGTTTATCCCAGGGCCAAGGTTATACTGGTTTCCCCAGCTCTGGGCTCCCAGGATCAGTCTTCCTCTGAGGAGAGCTGGGCTCCATCATCGTGAACCTCTCGGTAGGCAGCCGTGGGGCCACTGTCGGGAGTGTAGCTCTCCATAGAGATCTTCAATCCCTCCGACAGCTTCTGGGCTGCCAGCTTGGCCTGTAACTCCTGAAATTAAAACAACATAGAGACAGCCGGCATGAATAGACTTGTTAGCAAACAATACGTTTATTTTTAAAAAAAAGACTCCATCATGGCAGCAAATCTACAGCAGAAGCACGAGTGAGGCGTTCAAATGACAGTTGGACAAGCTCAGTGCTCTTTATAACAATTGCTCGTTGATAATCAAATACTGCCATCTACTGACTGAAAGTGGTTAGTGCAACTGCTACTGCTATTGATCTATTTAAGGGCAGGTACATTGTGTTGTTTGAAATTCTTCATGAGGTTAATTGTTCTAATGAATAATCATCATTATATTGGGAAACCAGATTAACTGCAGGATTACCTGTTGTTTGGTGGCTTGCTCTTTAAGGAGGGCGGCTGATTCTGCCAGTGAAAGCAGCTGAACAGGACTGTAATGTAAAGGAGGCAGTTTTGCAGCTGTGATGTCATCCAGGTGTTTCCTGTCGCGCTTTCGTCGCTCTTCTGCTGTCAGAGGAGAGGGCGTCCCAGACTCACCGGGAGAAGGAGGACCTGGAGAACTACCATTGGCCAGAAGCCTGAGCAGTGAAAAACACATGCTGAAGAAAGAGAATCCACAGGGAAAATATAACACAAGTTGAAACTACTCACTGATTAGTTTTGAATTTAGATTTTCTTATCGGGGTATTTTCAGACTTTGCTATAACACTCAAATAGGGAGGATCTGTTGGTGTTTTAACTAAATTATTCTCCATTACTGTACGGTCAGAATTCTTGTCCTCTGCACTTGAGCCTTTGCCGAGTGTGACGCTGTCCATGGCCTCCTCGAGTCCAGTCTCAGGCGCTTGCTCCAGGTTCAAAGGAGTTCTGTCTGATGCTGCTGATGTTGTATTCTGAGCTGAGCATTGTTGCGCTGAGAAAGCATCTTGATACTTTGACTGAAAGTCAGATACAAGTCTTTCATTTTTTACTTCTTCTTCATGATTTGCAAGTGCTTGTCGTATTTTCCCGGCAAACTCCTGAATTTTTACACCTTTGTCCGGAAGGGTCTTTATAAGCCTTCTGAAAAAAAGTATTCAAATGAAAATACTTAATAAAAGTACAGGTCTTTGAGAAAGTGTTACTGCCACTTTAACTTTCAGCCCAATTTGTCAAGTTACAAATTCAAAACATCTGTGGAAAGACCTGAGAGCTGCAATCAATCTGACAGAGCTCTAGTTGTTTTGTAAATATTTTAGATTTTGATTTTGAAAAAACAAACAAACATTGTTTTCACTTCACAGTCGTCGGTTGCTTTGTTTCTGTTTTTCAGAAAAGATAAAAAAGTCTTTCTTTGTTGGCATGACAAAAAGTCCAAGTTAAAGTTTTATTACACTGTCTTTAAAATTAAAATGTGTGTTTTAGGGATGAGCTACTTCATAAACTGTACATATGTGTAAATATTTAATATCTGGTTTATTACCTCTGTATTTTAGATCAATGTAACTGTATACTGTAAATTTTGCAATGTTTATTTGTCAATTGTGACATGTCATATTGTAAATAAGACGTATTTTCTATCATCAGGACTATTGGTCCTCTTTATTGTCCAACATTCTGGTGATACATGCCTCTCAAATAAGACCAGAGGGTTTTGTTAAAAAGTGGAGGGAGGTTCTTTCCTAAAATTAGGTGAAATCCTCCGAATACCTTGAATATGGGACCAAAGTTAGGCTCAGCTATGGAGGATCCGAATAATGATATAAACTATAGTAGTTTGAAAGTTCAGACCACAGCACATTTTGTTTGAACATTATAACCCACTTGTTTGAGAGGATCTTTTCCTGTCGCAGGAGGAGCTCTTGGAGATCTGCTTTGGTTCGTGTTGACAGATGTCCCACTTGTCCCTGTGGTTCTGTCCAGGACATGTCCCCGCGCTAATGACAGCAGCAGCTAACTCCACTCAGCATTTTACTCACTAAAGTCCAAAATTCAACATTTACCAGCCAAACTACAGCTCACTATAATCCTCACACGACATTACACCACACCACCATACACACGACTAAACATTAGACTCAGATAAAAGCTAGAGATAAAAGCAGTGACTGTAAAGACAAACCCAGCGCCTCTGTCCGTCTGCGCCAAAACACTGCGTCTTCCTCATGAGCACAGACTGTGGAGCCGCTGCAAGAGCTGCTGCCACCTGCTGGTCATTACTGTGTAGTGCAGGTGACCGCTGCAAGAGCTGCTGCCACCTGCTGGTCATTATTGTGTAGTGCAGGTGACCGCTGCAAGAGCTGCTGCCACCTGCTGGTCATTACTGTGTGGTGCAGGTGACCGCTGCAAGAGCTGCTGCCACCTGCTGGACAAGGCATGATAAGAATCGGCTACAAATGTGTTTGTTTTTGAAAACATAATAATATCAAAGACATGTCCCCTTAATATTTACAGTCTATGGTCCCCTTCCATTGAAGCTGTTGTACGTAACCCTCATGTCCCCCCATAGGTTTATACTTTGTGTTGTTATCATTAAGCTAAATATACATACTTCATTCATCAAGCATAGTTGTTCTTCTTAATATTCTCTTCATTTTCACTTTAGTGCACTCCTATTCCCACTGTTCTGTAACCTGTGATATTACAGTCTATGAATATACCACTGATTTTTTCTCACTGTGGGACAAAAATAGCGTATCTCAATCTTAAAAAACAAAACAAAAAAGGCTTCATCTTGGCAACAGGCAGAAGCAAACAGGCCAAGCAGAAATTACAATAATGATTGCAAAATGTAGGTAAACAGCATGTAGACAGAGAAAACAATAAAAAACTGATTATAATCATCTTTATTTTCCAATGTGTGCTTGGCTTACGCTGTTCTCCTTTGAGATATGTTAAAAACAAAACAAAAAAACAAAAACAAAAAAACAAAAACAAGAATTTCTATAAAACACAATTCTGGCAGCGCAGTCTTCATTACACTAATGGCTCAGGAATGGCAGTGACTCCGAGTTTATGTCAATTTACTTATTGTGAATGTGTGGACTACCTCCACCAAAATAAAATATTCAACATATAATTTCCTATATCACAAATTAAATACAAATATTTACTTTTGTATCTGGCAATAACAAAAATAGTAATTTAATTTTTACAGAGCAAGTATAAAACATTGAAGAATATACATTAGACCTATATTAATATAGCTTTGAACACTGGTGTCAAGTGCCTGTATATAAAGTATATACAAAGTAAGTATATACATCTATATATATTCTCCAGACGCTATTTACACGATATGTGTAAATTATTTACAGATTTTTAAGCATTGTTATTGTGCTTTGTGCAAACAGGTTTGAAAACTTCCAGAAGTGCCCTTTACTCAATGTTTATCTTTGCCGTCATCTCCATCAGCTTCATAAACGGCGTATAAACTCCGCGTCTACTGGGCGATACTGAACCCGATCCGGAGTCCACTTCATCACTTGCAGTTCGTCTCGGACTCACAGGGGGGTCCCCGGTGGTAGAAAGGGGATACGTCGAAATCCCACTGGGAACGGAAGGGTTGGCCTCCAGAATGCGGCTGTATTGGAGAGGAGTGTACCTTAGTAAACTGCTCTCTAGGCGGCTAGGAGGGGGGTTTTTGGAGCTGAATGTCCTTGGTTGGGTTGGGGTCAATGTTAGATAGAGGGATGCAGGTTGGAGCAAGGGTGTGAAGGAAGGAGATGGCACAGTGACTGGGGAGGGAGTGGGGGATACAGCATCATGAGTGGACAGGGGTGGAGAGAGAGGTGGAGAGAGCGGTGGAGAGAGTGGTGGAGAGAGTGGTGGAGAGAGTGGTGGAGAGAGCGGTGGAGAGAGTGGTGGAGAGATGGACTGAATCGGAGAAAGTGGTTGACGTCGTGACGATGGTTGAAAAGGTGATGGATGATGGTTAGGTAATGATGAATGATTAGGAGGAGGCGGGTCAAATGAAGAAAATCTGTCAACATTGAGCCTATCTGGGTCATCTCTGCAAAAGTACAGTCACATATCAACACAAAAATATGTACAGTCCTTTTTTATTCTATGGAGTATAATGTGAAATTACTAATTTACACAAGTTCCTGGTGTAAAGAATTAACTAATAATATGTTGATTCAAGTAGAGCTATAGTTGAAACACGTTGAATAAATAAAGACAGCAATCAGTGCCTAGGATCTTCTTTGTTTTCTCCTAATATCAGTCAATGCTATTGTGCACACTAAGCCATAATGAATACTTAAGAGAGATTCCACGTGAAGACGACTTTTCTTACCTGGGGAGCAGATTACACCCTACTCCAACATCCCTTGTTTCCAAATCCTCCCTTGGCCCATTCTGTGTGGACATAAAATACTTGAGGTTGTCCTCTAACTCATTATTCTAGGAAAAGGAAAAGAGGAAAAAAGCAATCAACTCAAGATACATGCAAAGCAGTGTGGAGCCACTGGGGTCACCCGTTACAGTGACATTAGTGCACAGCAGCCCGTGTGATTCAGTCATCTGTGGCCATGCAAAGATATTCACCGCAACAAAATAACCAACAAATAGCCAAATCCACCCAGAGATAGGACTCACCTCGCACTCAACTATGGCAATCCTGTCCAAGAGCTCCGAGATGAACATGTCTTTTTGGGCCACTTGAGCTCTGAGTATTTGAACCTGCAAAGGAGTGAACAGCTGGTATCATGCGTCATTATGTCATCCTCAACAACAATCAAAACAAGAAAGTCAAGACCGCTTCAGGTATGCGTCAAAGTAACAAAACCGGAAACTAGCTCCACCCCACAACTGTTTACGCTCAAACAGCTTAATATGCAATGGGCTTTACATGATCTGTCTCCTTGTATTACCTCTAAACCACACCTACTGTCAATAGAAACCTAAATTTATAGAATTTGCACAATAAAAGTAACGTCACCTCTTCTATCATCCCTTTAACCTTCCTCTGTTGACAAAACACCATGTCATTTAGATGTTTGATTCTTTCTTTGAGATCTGCGACTTCACCCTCCAGTTGTTTGGACCTAAGCAAGATGTGAAACACATATTTAAACACACAAACATATATACATATATATATATATATATATATATATATATATATTCTAAATATATAAAATGTATATAAAGAATCATATACTGTAAAATAAGAAATATGTTATAAATAATGATGTAGACAAACACACTTTTTCACCACATTTGAATCAGTGGTGTCTGACAACTCCAGCAAGCGAAGGCGCTGCTCAGAGATCTGTAGTTGTTTTTGGAGTTGGCTTTTTTCCTGCAAGGACAAGAAGAAAATATATTAGGGTTAGCCCGAGGCTGAAACGCATTATAATATATACTGTCTTGTATACTTCATATACAGTATAATGTATTTTGTTTTGGAGGGCCTTACATTCCCCATACAGCTAAGAAGTCGTTCTACTTCCAGAATCCGCTGGTCTCTTTCTGCAATCTTAGCCTCCGAATTTTTGATCGTTTTCTCTGCTTCCTCAAGGCGTCTGATGTATTCGTCCAGTTGTGCCTGAATACATTTTGAGACAGGGATTAATTTATCTTCTTTTCAGTTTAATTAGTTTAATCTGAGTTTCTATTGGTATTGCACATGCTGTGTAGTTCTGCTCTAGTTCATGAACAACAGGTAAAGTATGCAGACCTGTAGGTTTTCAATCTCCTCCCTGTGTTTGAGTTGTTCCTCTCGTAGTTTTTTGTCATATTCTTGCTTCAGTTTGGCTGAGAGCTCATGCAGCGCCCGAGTGCCTGCCTCCTGCGAAGATTCCATCTGCAAATACCACAGGATAGTACAACGTTAATGTATGGCTCGATGGTAAATTAAGCTAGAGTATCAAACCATAAAATTGGTTTCATAAATATTAACTGTCCCGACAGAATCTTGTTCCTCGGAGATGCAGGAGGGTCTAAGGACAATGATGATGATCCAGGACACTGAACAGTCAACAACATTTATGGACATGTTCTCTGCTCCTCATGGACCACTGGTTCTGTGTTTTCTATCATTGCATTTCTTGTGTTTGAACTGTTTGATTCTCTGATCTGTGTTGGTGATTTCAATGGTTTTGATAAGTCCTCTGAGATAACTACTGTTGTGATATTGGGCTACACAAGAATACATTTAATTGAATTATTTCAGTAAAATGTTGTGTCCAACCACAACATGCTGCCTTTATCTTATTAAAAACGTATTGTACATACTGAGAATGAGAGGTTGAGTGAGGGCTGGTGCTCTCTCTGTGACTATTGATGGAACCAAATTGTTTAAGAGTGAGGAACTACTGACATGGAACACATGACATTTTTTGTGGTTTCAAAGTTAGTTACTCCAACAAAAGTGTATTGGTATTGCCTAAAAAAATTAAAAGAAATTATAGATATTAGGGACACATTCTGAAGCTCTGCCTCACCGGGTGTTTGTTATTCAAATCATAATTCTTCTCATTGCCATTGTAAGCAACAAGAAGTCAGACACAAGGAATTTTCTTTGGTATATGATGCAAAGAAGTGAAACATTTTGAAAAAACTAGACACCTAAGAAGTCTTAATTAGATATAATTAAGACTAAAGGACAAAATAGACATTTAACAGTGCCGATGATCAGAAAGTGTCCAGAGGTATGACATGATAAGGTGGCAGAAGTATGTAGCTGCAGAAGTATGTAGTGGCAACAGTAAAGGCCAGAATCTGGTGAGTCCAAGGGGATGAAACTGTTCTTATGTTCTTATTCAATCCAATCCAAAATGTGGCCAGTAATAAACAAATGGATAAAAACGTGGCTGTGTTTCAAAAAAAAAAATACTGTTGATTTTTTAGTTTTCTTTCTTTAGTTTTGTTGTTCAGCACCTGCAGCCTCAGTGTCTGGTTCTCGGCCTGTGCGTAGGCCAGCTCCTTCTCTTTGTCCCTCAGCTTTTCTTGGGTTTTTTCATAGTTGCTCCTTAATGTCTTCACGTTTTCTCTCAGGTCCACTCTGTTTTGACAGTTTTCCAGCAGGGATTTCTAAAAGACAAACAAACACTCATAAGACATGGTTAAAACAACACGACTTTGACTGTTTGGATGTGGCACCTGTAGGCCGATGTTTGCTGATATGAGAGAGCTGTTCATTTGGTCAAAACTATCCATTGCTTCAGTCCGAACCCTCACCTCCGCCTCTAAACTCCTGCTTCTGGAGTTGGATGTCTGTTACATAACATTAAGCATGTTATTACACAATGCCATACAGGTTTATCCAAATAATGTTTGTACCTTAATTTCTTGAGTAAGCTTCTGCATCGACTGCTGCATCCCTCCAAACTGGCTGTACATGCGTTCTCGCACCTTCTCCAGTGAATCTCTCACCTGAGCAAACCCCACATACAAACAGATCAATGATTATGTCTGTTACAGCCAGTGTTGATAGCCAATGTGGTCTCACCTCTCGGATGTACCTCATCTCATTCTGGAGGTGACTGACGCTCCACTCACGCGCCATCACTTCCTGTTGGCGATCCGAGCCAGTCGTCTGCACGATGCCGTAGATTTTGGGCCCATGAGACTGCACGGAGGACTCGGTCCCCCCATTGGCCCCGTCTGAGAGCTGCTGAGGGAGACAGGATCACAGAGCTCAAGTTACACAACACCAACTCTAGAGGTTTCAGTCTGCACAAACTATTAGAGGACAGAAAGTTCAGTTGTTATTTTGGCAGTAGCGAGAGGCATGCCTGCATATGTGCATTTGATGTTTCGGGTTTTTGCTGAGCTCGAGAAAAAAGGCGATGGGAACAAAATGCAGAGTGAATTGAAGGTGTCAAGTTTCTGCAACCCAGTACAGGAGCTGCTTATGTCCTACACATTGTGCATCTGAAAACCCACCAGCGAGTTAAAAGAACTGGGGCTATGACCAGCCATTCAATAAATAATCTAAACTCTGTGGTCATTAATATATTTGAGTTGTGCGTGAGCAGGATGGTAGATGGGAGCTTCAGTTTCAATTCATAATTGATGACATTTGCCACAAGTTCCAAATGTTTTGTTCAGGAGGAAATAAGAAAAGGAGCTCTATAGGGAGAGATTAAACTGCCATAATGTACTATAAAAAAGTATCATATAAAAATATATAAATATTACATTATGTATTTATACAGTACTTTTCAAAATTTTCATTACAAAGTGCTTTCCAGTTTCTATAATATAAGGAGCAATATCATGGTCCTGGCAAACATACTGACTGATAAGTGCATAAAGTAGAAGCAAGAGTAAACTAGAACGTGCACTCGGAGAGCGCATACCCCGCCAAGAACCCGAATCATAATCAAAATGTGAATGGGCTCTTGCTTTCATCAAAACCCATCTACACAGCATTTCAGATCAATCTGTGCTGTTGTTTGTGTGTAATCCTGCCCACAGACAAACACACACACACAAAATAGATTCCAGGTGAATGTCTTCGTGTCAGTTACTAAGTGACTCATTATTTTATTATTAGTTCAGCCAGAAATTAAATCACATCAAGAATGTGTAACCTGCACAGTTATGTTCACCTGCTGAGGCGACTCCCTCCCAGCTGGCCTCTCTCTGTGGATCAACCCATTCTTCTTCTTCCACGTCTCCTTTGCATCTTTATTTTGTTCAGACTGAAGATACAGAAACAATAGGTGACATAAAAAATATTAGAAGTTACACAAACACAGCCCACAGCAGTCACAAATAATTGATTTTATTGATCCCAAAATTTTGTTTCTAGTCAATTATTCTAGTCTTGTGAAAATCCTGCAGCGCAACCTCACTCTTTGCCAGAAAAGGGAGGCGTCTTTCTGCATCTTTCACAGATAAGACAGAAGCGTCTGACAAAGGCACCAGTGTAGTCAGTGCACAATGCAACGCCTGGCATTTCTGCACAGAACGCGCTCTTAAGAAATAGTGCAGGGTTACTGACAAAAAAGTGCAAAATTCCCTATTTATGCAGAATCCGAAGTCTGAACTCTTTCATTTTCATTTCATGTAATCAGTCTTTTATTGCTGTTTTTTACAATAGGTCTCAGCTGCTTTATGACAGGAAATAAAACTAGGTCTTGTCACATAATTATATGTCCAAGACATGTCAAATATTTGTCTGTCTTCTCCCTCACATGCAGCTTCAATGTTTGAAGTGAGTCAAAGAAAGAGCAGCTCATGTAGCGCATTGACCTGAATCATCCTCCTGACAATGATGTAGTTATAGGGACATAAAGCACACAGGATGAGATATATTACATCTCAACATCTTCTCAACGAGGCCGACTGGATCCTGGCCATCATGTGTCGTGTTGCAAGATACGCCCTTCAACTTTGTGGACAACAGCCTGTTTCTTTAAGGTCCCATTTAAATCAGTCTGATTCATGAATAAAGGTTCCCTTTCTTGCTTAACAACATTAGAGAACCATGATTCTAATTACATTACCGCAGGCTGAAGAAGCAAGTTAAGCAACAGAAGACGTTGAAGTGAATGTAGTTTGTGACCAGAGCAATGTGCATGAATACTTCATGAAGTGAGTTTGTAAACGGCTGAACTAATGTCGTCATTTACCCTCACCACAAACAGCAAACCTACAGTCGTTAACATTTCATTATTGATGATGATACATACATGATATTTGAGGCAGATGTTTAGGTTAAATATTACATTATCCAGCAGTGTGGACTCAAAACACACAAAAACAAACCTCACTATCAAACACATGAGTGACTGTTGACCACATTGTCCTGGTCACACCCTCATAGAGAGATTAAATCAATGGACTGAACAGCGTAGTAGATCTTGGGCCAAGGTTCAGACCACTGCAGCCTCTTGGTTTTGCACATTATTAGACTCTTTGCTTTACTCCATGAGATGAAAGAGCTGCCGCGTTCCACAGCAAACAGCCCACAGCAGTCACATTTTGCACACTTTTGTGTAGGCAAAACAGACAAAGTTTAATTTGGCACTTGGCATTACACAAACATTAAGGGCTGTTTGCTGACGTATCACTCTACAGGTTTTAAAACAAATAATGTGGTCAGGAGATACCGATAATATTATAGCTACTTAAGCCAATGAAAGTATTTGGGTTTGTATTTTATTTGGAAGATATACTCTGTAGAGAGAGGTCTGCTTTGAAGTGAATGAGAAACAGCTGTGTAGGCATTATCTCACATGCACACCCTGTCCAGATTGTGACGCGTCCAGATGATAAAGGCATAAATCTAGTCTGTTTGTCTACTTTGGAGTTGTTTAAGTTTCAGACGTTTAATAGTATAAACAAACTTAGGATTTCAAAAGCTTACCGTGTCTCTTGTTTTCCCATTCTCTCCTGCATGAAGCGTTAACCTGAGCCGCCTGAACTTCCTCTAGAAAACAAATACAACAACGTAACATGTTTGTAACAGACCTTTAAACAAACATTATGGAAATACTTTATGTGTCAAGTAACAGAGTACATCTGAGCATGTTACACACACCAAGCTTACACACATAGGCACACTTGTCTTTCCTCAACAACAAACAATATCGTCACCATTTGGTACAAGGGACTGTTTTATCAGAGAACAGTTCAAACAAACATGGCCCTTGTCTGTTGCACACTAACAGTGGAAGCAAAGCTGTAATGCTCACTAATCTATAATACAAATATATTAGCATTATAACATTACAGCTCGTAACTACACTGAAGTCAAGGGATGCAGCCCAAAAAAGCCACACAGACACAGGAGCTGTTCATGTTCAGAAGAGAGAGTTACCTCTGACTCTGGAGAGTCCTCGGTGGTGGTCGTGGTGCTGGACACAGTTCGCCCTGATCCGTAGCGAAGCATGTCTCTTGTTGTGTCCACTCTTTGCTTCTCTTCCTCTGGCAGGGGACCCTCCCACCCTTTCCTCTCCCCACACACTCGCCTTCCTGAGTCAAGACTCCAAAGCGGTCATCGGACCCAAACTCCACGAGTCCAAGACAGGGGAAATTCCACTTTTTTCAACGCTGTTGCTGCTGCTGTTGCTGCTGCTGCTGCTGCTGCTGTCCTGGAGTTTAGAGCACATATGTCATTACTAAAGTCCTTCGTCACAGAGTACCTGTCTATCACTCTGTCAGTCACACTATGAACCATTTCCCATCAGACCTGTCGGACAACATTTCAGCTGCCTCCCTGTCAGCCTCCGTCCGGTTGGGTGTAGCATGTCCCAGGTAAACTCTCGACTGAGGGAGGGGCCAGGGGTGGAACCAGCTTCTTTCCCATGTTATCCCATGAATATCAAGCCATATGTACATATGGCTACACACAGTGTGACAGTGGCAATGTCACTGTTAGAAATGTATTTTTTTCTTTTAATGTTATTGTCACTGCCAATTTTTCTATTGTCTGTTGGGGACAGAAATATACAAGCAGCATTGAAACAAAGAGAAAGTTTTTTTTTATTTTTTTTACTTGACTTCTTTTCTTAATTTGCTTGTGCTTTGAACCAGCACATTCCTGTTTATTGACTATGAGTAAAGTAAAGATTGTTAAAACTCTATATTATGCTCAAATTCTGTATATACCCTGAGATGTATACAGCCAAAATGGGAATTATTTACACCACAGGTGAGTGAAGGCCCAAACAGGTGGTTCAGACTCCTGCATTATTGATACCCAGGATATATGAGCGATGAAAGGAAGCCATGATTATTTTATGGTATTTTCACAGCATTGCGCCCTGCTACACTGAGCACACCAGCTTGTTCTGACAAAGATGTTTAAGCAACAGACTTGTGCACATGTTTAAAAGCAGGTCCCATTCCTGGTGCTCTTTTCTATTGAAACTCGAGGAGTAGGAGGATCCTACTTGCACTATGTCAAGTTCAGGGTCTCATTTTTCTTTGTGGAGTGCAGTTGTGTATCAAAGAGAGAGAGAGAGAGAGAGAGATAACAGTATGAGAGGCAATTTTACAGTTTCTGGTTAATTAGTAACTTAGTAACTATATCCAAACAAGTGGCTTTTTCCATGAAAAGGTTGCTGTGGCCACTGCTCGGGGCGGATGTGGTTGAAATGTATATCTCACATTTCATAAAGATCCAATGTGTTGTGTTGACAGACACTGGTTGTTGGTGGTTACCTGGTGTTGCAACCACCAACAACTCTTTGGAATCCATGTTTGACCTGTGTTGCAAGTGCTCACAGAATGGCTCCAATGCAGCTGAGGACAGATGACACAAAGATAGGACAGCTGACAATGCAGCACTGTTTCAATATCATTTCTAGGGAAAAATAATAATTGAGAATGAAGAATTTATAAAAAATGAAATGCATTATCATGGCACAAAAGACATATTCACTGAAATTGTGTGAAATCGTGACAAGTTTAAGCTAAATTTGGTTAGGTGTGTTTCATTATCTACTTTGGTGTTTTGAGACTTGAGGCATGTGTATCCGAGTCTGCTTGTCAACCAGCTGATGGAGTCCAGACCCTGTGACCCTAATCACCCTTTCACCTCTTCCTTTAAATCATCACATTCTTTTTGCACTGCACATTAAAACACATCATTAGTTTGACAGTGTGCACATGGACGCCTAATCCTTTCTGAGGAACATTTAAGGCATATGGTTTCCAGTTTCCACTGGGAAGATGTCAATCATCCCTGTTTGTGACCGAGACTATAACAATGTGCAGAAATAGCAAGTAATGTATAAGTACTATATTATGAGTACTTGGGTAAAAACGGGTCAAATGTAACACTTGTAACCACAAGAGACACAACATATACAACACATGATGTACAATCCGCCTGACTGCACAAATGATGATCTCTCAGCTCTGTCTTTAAGCTCAATTCAAATTGCCCCAGTGAGCTCCACTCCCTCACAGACAGAGGTAAAGAGTTCCAGGCCCCTGCTGCTTTCATAGAAGCACTAGTTACTTGGAAATTTACAGCATGCGATAAAATCAGGTTTTAAATTGTTAGTTGTGCATCTACAGTAAGTGAAGCACCCTATCCCTAACCATTTGGGTTAGACTCTACATGTTTTGTTTACCATATTATCTGACAGTGTGAAACGAAAATACACGGATGCATTAAAAATAGGAATGCATGTTAAAATATCATCCAATAAAAAATATATGTTTAGAAGCACAAAAGAGAAGGAAGGAGAGTGTGTAGTGTTGTATGAGTGCAACCCCCTTTTCAAACATTATCTGTGCATTTGTTTATTTTGTATTATGTTCGTATATAGAAAAATGTCTCAAATATAACGCGTACAATGTCTCAAATTATTATAATTATATATTGATATTATTGTCAGTCTATTATTCGACAAAATTACATTTCCCTAATACTTTTTGCAGTAAATTAATACTGTTTCCAGAAATGATTTTCTATTTTTAATTCAGTATCTAAAACTAGAACTTTTGCCAACTCTGACAAGTATGAGAAAGAGGGAGTTATGCTACACTGACTATTTGCAGGTAGGGGGCAGCAGAGCACTGTAGTGAACAGGAAACTCAAACAGCTAGAACAGGGCCTATTTTCCGTCCATACTACAGTCTGTGGTTAAAATCCAATATTTACAGTATTTGGTAACAGAAGAAATACTTTAAAAAGTAGTTGATGATTCGGATGAATATATACATGCGGTGTTTTATCACAGCTCCTATCCACAGCTTCACAAACTCACCATGAGCTGTGTCCAGGTCCACAGGCTGCAGGCTGCGGAGCGCGGAGGAATCACAGGAATGGTCACCTTGTTACAAAGTTTCTCTAAAGCCTCCACTGAGTTTACTGCTTCATTGGACACTCAAGACACCGACATAATACAGAGCAGAGACCTGTTCGTCACAGAGAAAAGCCGCTGATGGAGGTCGCGCCCTGAGAACAATGCTCACCCCGGTCCTTTGTGCACGTGCTCCCCATCACCCTTTTGCATTGGGCCAAACTTTGTTTATTTTGTCAGAAAACTGAAAAAACAAAAACATGACACATTTGACGCTTGAAAACAATGCATAGAATGAGTCAGGAACAGGTTGAACTTTTTTAACGCCTCAAATAAATACTGATCCAAATATTTATATAGGGTTATTTTTTCCTTTGCCTTTAGTTTAAAAAAAATAAAAAAAAAACTATGTATCTATGTACTGTGGCCTGGGTTTGCGTATGTGCAGGGCAATGTGTATGTTTACTTGCTTCCAGGGCCAAAATCCACTGTGAAGGAGGGGTTGGGCTTCTCCAATCTGTTGTGTTTGTTTAAGTAATCAAAAAAGTGCAATCCAGCAATATTGAACATTTGTTTTTGCTTCATTACAAGTCCCTGAATCTTTTTTGAAAAATGGTTTGGCTTAGCTGTGAATTGACCCAACAGTTGGTCTTTCTCTGGTCTATCAGATGATCCTCCAGACGGCAGCACTACTATTGGAGGCTGGATTTGAAGTTTGATTTTTCATATCTTCTTTTAAAATTAATGTTTATTTATATAGCACATTTTTACAGACCAAGGTCACCAAAAGCACTTTACAATGTTCAGAAAAGAAACACATGCTCCTACTCAGATCTCGATTTTTTGACCCTAAAAAGGAATTTAGTCTTAATAACGTCTTTCAAATATTTCACACAAAAACTCGCCCTGAGAGGAATGTTGGCATATTTATTTTAGTTTCACAATATTCATGAAATCACAACAAGGCTATGTACAGAGGTAGTGGCAGCAGTTCACTCACAATAGTCACAGATCAAGAACATAATGATTGTCATTTTCCCTTATAGCATAAAATACAAAAACAGTCTGAACGCTCAAGTAAGAAAATATGGAATATACAACAAGTGACAAACTGAAGTCAATTTCAACAATGTCATGGCACGAACGTTCTATGATTGTATTTTACATTTTGCTCCAGTGAATTTTAAAATAAACTAAATGAAAAAGTGATTTCAACAGCTTACAGTAAACTTCTAAAATCACTTCATAGTAATATATATTCATATATGAGCTGATGTATAAAAATGTAGTTGCTGTGTTCAAAGTCCCTCACTCGTTAACAGTCCCAGGAATAAAAGCCAATACTATTGTGGCTTCAGTATAAATCAATAATAAATAACATCTTTCTTACTTCATATAATGAGGATTAAACTTAATTCTACAAAATAGACGAGTAAAACAAACTCTTGTTATTTATAAAAGCCGATTACAAATAATACACAACAATAATAATAATTAACGTCCGATAGGTATAAAATAGGTTAGTAACTTAATTTTGTTCAGAGGCAAAAAAGAGCCCATGTTGTTTTACAGTGCATTTAAAAGTGTTCAAGTAACTACAGCTAAAATAATCATGAGGTGTGTGAGAAAGTGGAACAAAAATACTTCTATTTCAAACACACATTGTAACCTTTATAAGATGCTGTAATACTGAGCACAGAATTTAAAAGATGTATTCAGGATAATAACTTGCTTTTTGGATTTTCAACACAGTATATCTTCGACTGGTCCCTGATTTCTCAAATAGGCTTTTCTGTGTAACTTCACCATTTGAACAAGTTTGTGGTCTGGTCCCATCTGAATCACATGGCAAATGAGGATAGTATGTTGTCCTGGCTGGAGGAGCGCTTGTAGCTCAGTGTGGATCTGAAATACGTCTCTCCGTCAGTGCTGACATCATCATCATCATCATCATCTTCGTCGTCCAGAGTGTTCAGAAGCGGCGCCGAGCTGCTTTTTCGCCTGAAACATAAACGCACGTCATCAAAATACATTTGTATCGCACAGTTTTTCCCTTAAAAATATGTTTGTCTTAATTAAGACTTCCATCCATCCATCCATTTTCTTCCCCTTAATCCATTTCTGGGTCGGGGGGTGGCAGTTAGAGCTGCACCCAGTCCACAGAGCACCAGCCCCTCACTGATCCTCCTGCAGGTGGTGAGTCCACAGGAGCTGAGATCTTTCAGTTGGGGCTTTGGGCAAAGTAGGGTTAAGTGTCTTGCCCAAGGACACAACGACAGCAGTCATCAGTGGGAGTCGTGAAGTAGGTCTTACGGTGGGCTCGAACCCACGACCTTCAGGCCCAAAGGCCAATGCTCTACCAACTGAGCTACTGTCGCCCTTTAATTAAGACTTGTAAAAGTAAAATGTGACCAAATCAACCCACAACAAGCCATCTTTATTTTCTGAAAAATCCTCCTATAGAACCCATTATATGTTTTGTATACTAAAAAGGTATATAGGAGGACTTTCTGATCATAAAGACTATTGGTCCTCCCAACTGTCAATCACTCTGGTGGTAAGTGCTCGTTAAATAAGACCAGACAGTTTTGTTCCCTGGTGGAGAGGGCAGTTCTTTCCTAAAGAAGTCACTATTTGATGCTGTGGGCTGAGAACAAAGTGAGGGTCCTCTCTTTTTCACTTCTGTCTGAGGCTGATCTACAGCTGTGACATGTGCTTATGATATTACATTCATGTGAACCAAAATGTTTAGAGCGAGAGGACGTTAGATTTCTTTTTACAAAGATAATATTTGTGTGGCATCTGATCGACCAATTAGATGCCTTCATTTGTGAGGGGAACTCATGGATCTATTATATTAAATGGATAGGGTATTACTAGCTTGGAGCTGAAGAACCCATGTGCTCAGGGGATTCTCGCTGTACTGCAGACAAACCAGACTAAATTCACGTGGGCTACCCAGACATTTTCCCCATAAAACTCTGTGTAAACTAAAACAGCGTGACCTCAGCTGACAGAGAACCTACAGCTTTCATAAAGGTCGGATTATGTGGGGATTTTAGTGTCCCTTGCCATCCTGAACTTTTTTTCTTCTTAAAGCCTTTGGTTTTCTTTAAATCTACACTTTAGTGCCACAAACTCTGCCCGTCTGGCTCCCGCTCTAACTCCCGCTCTGAGCAGTTCTGATTGGTCAGAGCGCGGCCGAGCCCCTCTGTGCCCCTCACGCAACGCATCATAGGAGTTCATCCACTGCGCAGAACCGGGAGGACCAGACGATGCCCAAATACAGGCGTGTTTCCCATGGATTTTTGCGAGTTCCAGGCGAGTTCCGCTAATATGTCAGCGACTGTGCCTGCACAAAGCGCCACTGAGCACAAACCATTCATATGAATATGGCGCCATCTTGGATCGCCGGGGCTTGGGGGAACTCCAGATTGCCTTAGCAACTGTCTTAGCAACACGTGTGCAATGCAAGCACCACAGAAGAAATGCCCAGCTCGCTCATGTTCAAACCACCCTCTTCCACATTCAGACTAACACTAAGGGGACGTCAGCGCTCGATCAGTCCACTCCTATTTATGATTTGTTTGTTTGCAAAATGTACAAATGTTTTCTGATTGTGTTTTCTGGTTGTGATTAAAAATATGAGTAATGCATAGATTCATATGATTATATTGTGGCTCCATGCTCACCTCATCTCACTGCGCATGGCCTTGAGCTGGCTCTGGAGCTGGTCGTTCGTCTCCTGTTGATCGTCAAGTTCTCGCTGTAGTTTCTTCTTGCCGTTCTCCAAGCGGTCGATCTCCTCCTCGGCTTCATCCATCTGCCGCTTCAGGGCTTTGACACGCAGGTTCAACTGGAATAGAAACGGAGACAATGTTTATTTTCACTCATTATAATGCAGATTTGAATCAGAGATGCTGCCACACTCCACGTGCCTGGTTCTTTTCATCCAGCAACGCGTTTTGTTCCTCTTCCACTTGCATCACCATCTCCTTCACCTTTCTCTCCAGGCGCCGATTCACCAGCTGCAGGTTTCCACGCTCCCTGAACAAAGCAAGACGCCATCAATGTATCTGCAACGTAACTTAATGGCTTCATAAACATGTATCAGATGAGTTTATGAAATGTACTGAATGCAGACTACACACCTTGGACACAAACTTGTCATTTTGTGTTTATTACAGGTCAAAATTTCAGTGATTTTAATCTAATTGGCATTATTATAAAAATGTTTTAATGAGTACAACAACACATTTCCTTTGAAGTAGGCTCCTTGGAATTATCCAGGTGCAACATGCGCAGCAGAAAAATAGTTCATGATAATGATGATGTGAAATTTGCATATTTTCCTTATTGTACACACTGAACTGCAGCTACACTTCACAGTCTGTGTCTTGTTGTAAATAGACAAAAGGGGTTAATTAAAAAAGAGGTTAAGTGTAGAAGTAAGACCGAGGTGTGGCCCCCAAAATGATTTTCAATTATTTTGTCATCTTGCAGTATTGGTATTAATACATATTATAAATTTGGCACCCAAACTCAAAATTAGTTAGCCACTTCTGCTCTCCAAATGTTTTATGTCTTGTATTATATTATTTAATTTCTAAAAAGAAATCTTGACTAGCTAATCCAAAATCACACTTCACACATTCACCAAAACTGAGGAGTTCTACAATTAAGGATTTCTTTAATATAGTAGTAACAAACTAACCTGTATCATGTATAACATTTAAATGAATAACGTGGGTTATGTAAATAATACCATGTCCCACAATGAAAATGAAAAGACATTTGTTATCACAACATGATTGTAAAGGAGTGAAATGGGCTGATTAAGGACTTCCTCTGCAGTTGTACCTTATGCTCGTGTGACCTCACCTTTCCTCCGCTTCCAGTCGCTCCTCCAGCTCCTGAACTCGTCCCTCCAGCTGGGAGATCTGACCCTCTTTGTTGGACTTCTGGGAGCTCTCTAAATGAGTCACTCTGCTTTTTAGGTCCTTATTCTATGCAGGCGGTAAAAACAGGATCAGTGGACTAAAGCAAAAACGACTGTAATTGAGTTAGAATGTAACAAACAGCCAGAAACGTGTGTGACACCAACACTGAGATGACAATGGAAGGACACATGGATGAAATGAGCCCAGGGGATGTTGTGTAGTTGTTTAGCTTGAGACAGGGGCGTGTGTACCTGTCTCTCCAGAGCCACCTTGTCACACTCCAGGTCCTGTCTGCTGGCCCTCTCCTGCAGGAGTTCATTCCTCATCTGCTCCACCTGTCAAGCCGAGCCCAGACACTGTCATCTCCCTGCTCCCACACAGTCTGATGACAATTACAACAGAAACCCGTGCAGCGCTCAAACAGCTTCAGCTAAACAATAGGATTTTGCTCAAGGGCCCTGCTTAAATTTGTGGCCATGACTTTCGGGTTTGGCAGCATTCCACGTTTTGTTTTTAGCGCTATAATCATGCTTCACTGGCTCAAAAGGACACTGAAAAAGTAAATAGTTTGTCTGTATAAGTAATCACAGTAGCTATACAAATAAACAACTATAGAAAGCACTAATGACAGATTTGATGTAATAGTAGTATTTTACTTCACTGCATAGGGCCAGTTCAAAGTAGAGGCCCATGAAGAGTAATCAATAAAGTGTTGATGGCTGTTTCTTTGTAGAAGGAGCGGAGAATTGGTGATATTTTATGCCAATTAGTGGGTGACAGTGGGCTGCTCTGATGAACGATGGCCCCTATAACTTGTGCAGCAGCACAGTGCTTGAGGGAGCTGAATCAGCAGACTGGAACATACAGCGAAACTAATCTGCTTTGTGAGAGACGGCAGGAGAGGAGAAGGGAGATTACTCTCATTTAGACAGGAGAGCAGCACCTGGTGCCAGGAGAGGCGCAGGTGTTCCTTCTGCTGCTTGTGCCGCTGCCCCTCCGCCCCATAGCCATACACCGCACACACACACACACAGACACAGACATACTGACACGCACACAAATGTACGCACTCACACAGAAACACAAACATACACACTCACCCATACATACATAAATAAACATACACACACACACACACACACACACACACACAGAAACACAAACATACCCCCACATACATAAACATACATACGCTCACAAACGCACGCACTCACACAGACACACGCACATCTACACACCCACTGACAGGAACACACACACACAGATAAACATACACGCACATATACACTGCACACAGACGCATACAACAGCGAGAGCGCAGAGCTCCAGCGTTGCCTAGACAACCGACCCCATGCTGAACCAATGCCACTTTGTCACAACGCCACTTTTTGCTCTCTGCCAGAAGTTCTGCAAAGGGGAATGCATTTTATGGGATTTTAATACTCAACTTCTCTCTGTAAGCCTCTACTCATGTCATTAGGGGACAGATCAAAAATAAAATGGCCACTGCATTTGAATCAAAGTTCTCAAGTGCAGGTTTCATTTTTTCACCGGAATTTTTTTAAACTGCATTTAAATAATAAAAAAGGAAAATAAATACTCTCAGCATCGATTACTGCATTTATGTTTACCTGCGTTTTAAGTGTGTGGTAGTTATTATTCCAAATGTGACAAAAAGGTGCATCAGAACTCTCCGCTCCTAAGCTGAAGTGAACTCAATCACCAGGACAGTGAGGAGTATTTGGCAGCGCACATTTTTGGCATCAAACATGAATTAAGAAGGATCTTTGGGACTGATGCATGAAAATGGGATCTGTGGTCTTACACTGGCGCTCTGCCAGCCCGAATGATCAACCAAGATTATTTACAGAGCAGAAACTTTGTCCATACAAGGAATGAACAGTGTAGGGGATTTTAGATCAGACACTGGATGTCCGAATGAATGAACATGATCACATGATTTCCACAGATTAGAGAGTTCACAATGTTAGTGGAGCTACTTCACAAACAGATGATCAGGCTGTGGACACAGACGGGTGAAGGTGGATAATGAGAATGTGTAGTTTGTACCTGTTCCCGTCCTCGGTCGATCCTGTTCATAAGCTGGTCTCCACTCTGGCGCTCTTCATCCAGGTCCATCTCGAGCTGAGCCACTCTGTCCTGAAATGCAAAGTACCCTGTGACATGGAGCAGACCCCGGACAGCACACTGCGGTCTACGAAACATACCTCCAGCAGCTTCACATGTCTGCTTGTGTCTTCCTTTGTGTTATTACGAGTCTCAGCCTCAATTTCCAGATCATGAAGCTTTCGCTCTAGAGCCTCTTTCTCCAGGATGGCCTCGTCTCGCACTTTCAGACATTTCTGCAGGTCGGCCTCTTTGTGCAACAGCTACAAGACACAATAACAACCAACTTTGATTTTAATGTATTGAAAAAGTGACACAAGAAGTCCACTGCTGAAGGGCAATTCTTAAAACATTACTGTTGCTTATCAAAATGCAAATATAAACAAACAACTTTAATTTTGGTGCTTAAAGCTGTTGGTCCAGGTGACAAATGAAGCGCGGTGCGCTTTCAGAGCCCCGTTCATTCAGCAGAGATGCCCTCACAGCTGGAACACTGCCCTCTCTACTTGAAGCAAACATTTCAATTCATCTTTCGGCTTTTATTTCTCACCCACAACAAATATTTATCCATTAGTGGAAAATTATTCCATATTTCATCAGATACACTTTGTACATAATTTGAGTGTTTTGCATAATGCACACATAAAGACACAGATAACCAGGTAATAGCAGAATTTTTCTCAAAGCTAATCATAAATAGCTGTGTCCTCACTTTAAAGCAATTACTTTTTGTAAAGTGGGTGTTCATGAAGACACCTTAATTTTCCTAGTTCATAAAATTGTAGTGAGGTCAGAAAATAAGTTTAGCAGATCGGCCAAGTCTTTGTGGGTGGAGGCTGGAAAAGTGGACTCATTGGACCCAGTCGAGTCTGGAGGAGGATGCGAGTCCGGCCAGCGCAGCTTTCACAACAATGATATCACATCACTGACATCCATGTCTTCCTGTGCACCAGCTGCACAGAGAAGCATGGATGCAGGTACAAAACAAGCGGGACATTGACCCCGTTTGAAGAAGTAAACAGCACAGCCAAAACTTGGTTCATAATGCTTTATAATGCATGTGTCTATAAACAGCACACTTGGGTCGGTTAAAGCATGCTCCATGTTATGAGCTTATATTCATGCATTGTGCTGCTTAAAAAACACCCAGTGGAGATTTCATTATAAACAGTTGCCCTTTTGTTTTCTGGATTAAGGTCAAGCACACTATGAATCTTCAAGATCATAAACACATTGAATGCATTTCCCAAAATAATAACACAGCATTTTTAAATCTGCGTTGTGTAACTCTCAGATATCCACTTGGATAAAGCAACAGCTGACATTAATAAAACTCCTTTCTACCAATCCTGCCAACGCATTTAAGCCCTTTTCATACAATAATATTTGTTCTATAGAGTCAGCCTACTACCCCCCAAAGCCCAACACCACTCCTTTTCCACTGCAATAATAATAATTCATTGCATCAATTTAAAACATTCCTTACATAGCAAAGAGTTGACAAGGTTACATCGGAAAGGAAACGCTTCCACTCCTGATTGTTGTTTGCGCAAGAAGACTATTACACAGATTTTTTCTCATAACTTTCTCAAATGTGCATCGAAAATGTCTCCAGTTTTTGGGAGGAGGCTTGAATACCAAAGTGATGACATCGCTTTGGAAGAGGGGAGAATGTGGGAGTGGTCAATCTGAGTCAGACAAAGCGTTATCATGGTCGTGGCTCAGCCTGACTAGTGATGGCTTGGATGAACCACTCGCACCACAAAAGCAACGTCAGCAGAAAATACATAAAGCTTTGCTCACTGTACCTCATCTTGGAGCGTTTTTGCAGAGACGAAATATTTGTCGGCTTCTTGGGTCCTCTCCTTCAGAAGCCTCTGCAGCTCCGTCAGCTCTCGCCGATTCTTCTCTTTGTAAATATCTATCTGCTCCTGTAGTTCACGGGTAGACGACTGCGAGGCATCTACAATATCATTCATCTACGTAGAATAAAGACAAAATTAGAACATGGATAGAAAGCATTAAATAAATTGGAACGTGAATAAGCCGTCACCTCCTTCTGAAGTTTCTCCACCGTTCTGTCCAGCAGTCTCCGCTCATCCTCAATATCGTTTTTCATGTTTTTGAACTGCTCCTTTTGAGCCTTCTCCTCCTGCAACCGCTCCTCCAAGTCCTTGTGTTCATTGGCCAGTTTGGTGAAGTTTCTCTAGTAAAATAAATTAGAACTTGTACAATAATACAGAACCCTTTTTGCATAAGATCATACAAGTCTTTAATCGTACTTTGGGGAAATTTCGAAGTCATTGTTGAGCACGTTACAGTAGAATAAAAGGAGGAAATAAGAGCGCTCGGATTGCACTCATCAAAACAAGATCTATTATTTAAGATAATAGAATAAAATACAAATGATAAAATAAAATACAACTCTGGAGCTATAATTACAGGAGACTAGTGATCATAATTAGTGATTATTTTCAGTTTACCTGGACATCCTCCAGGCGAACGGTCAGTGCTCGATTTGCACGAGACATTTCTTCTTCCTGTTCTCTAATTTCAGACAGTGACTCCTCCAGTTGTTTCTTCTCTTTCTATAAACAAAATATATTCACATTGTGTCACTGTTATGAGGTCTGTATCAATAATGGTCGTTGATGAAAATAGACGGTATATCGGAGCAGATTGTGTGCTCGTCTGCTTGTGTTGTCATGACACTGAAACAAATAGACACAATACTTGATTCCAACTATAGTACCAATAATATATATAAAAATAACATCACATCTTGAGCTACCATTAAAAATACTATAATGTTGCGCTCGTGAAATCAAAATTAAAACTGCTTGGGGAATTATTTCCGTTTCGATACTTTCTCAAATAGAGAAAATAATCAAATCTAAAAAATCTATCATCTTCAAACTTTTGCACAACATTTTGGGATTCATTAATTATTGTTTGTATATTTTTAACTAGATTTATTTTATTTTTGTTGTGATTTGATCAAGTTTGAGCGATAGAGCGTTAAATAAGTGACTTTTATTGTCAAATATTACATTATTCTTTATTTTCTCACAACAGGCCTTTAAAGTGATTGTCTGGAGTTTGTCAGAAAGAGAGACAGAGAGGTACTTGATTTGAAAAAAACGACGCAAGCTCCCCCCCCCCTTCCTTTCTGATTGGTCTTCACCTACGTTTCCGTAACACTTTTAAATGTTAATCAGAGAACACATTATACATGGTTTCAGAATTATTTGTTAACGTTTTAATGAAAAAAAGAATGTTTTTATGCACAAAAAAGCGATCGCGGCAAACCCGGAAGAAGCTATTATCATGAATTGCACATTATAGGACACATCTGCAGAGGATCTGATTATGGATATAGGTTCGGTATATAAATGGGTAACTCAGCGCAGATGTTCAGAATTCTTTGTTCAGTTTTCATGTAGTTCCAGAACCTAATGGAGCTTGATTCGGAGGCTCCGCAAAAAAAAAAACAACTGAGCATGCGCGCAGCTGCGAGCATCAGCGCCGATGATTGACAGCCCTTGGCATGACTCGATTGGTTAACGTGGACGGCATCATGGATTCTGAGCTATAGCTAAGAGAAGGGAAGGCGGGACTTACCCTTGATATTAGAATTAACAAAATGACTTATTTTATATCAACATTTAAGGCCAGGAGGTCAATTTAACACATTTCCTAAAATGTGTAATTCATTTAGAGTTACAGACTATCACTTTAAAGGAGGAGTCAAATAAAAACTTTTTTGTTGTTTGAGGGCCATTAAAGTAGTTGTATTATTGTTTATCACAATGTTTTTTACAATGTTTTTTCTGACATCTGCCATCAAAATTGTTAAGACTACACTGGGACTTACTCTAACACATGACATGAAGTACCAATCGCAGAACTTTGTATAAAATCAGTGGCAGATCTGACCTGGAGTCGCGTCACTCTGTCTGTGAGCCGGCTCTCCTGCAGCTTGGCCTCGTCGATGATCCGGTTGAGTTTCGCCACTTCGTTCTCCAGCTCCTGAATCCGCCTGCGCAATTTCTCTGCCTCCTGAGACAGACGCCCTGCCTGTCCTTCTACTGCCCCCTTCGCCGCCTCCACCTCAGCCTTCTCTCGGACGGTGGCTGCGCTGGTCTGGTGATCACAAGAGCACATGGGAGTGAGACTCATATAGACACTCATTTCATACAGTGTCTATATTCTGATGTGATCATTAAAGCTGGGGTAGATAACTTATCATTAAATATCATGTGCAAGTATTTTTCAAACAGAAAAGAAAAAGAGAGGACCACCCTCAGTCAGCCAATCAGCTCTCAGTACAAAACGTCAAATAGTGACGCACAGAGCTGTATCTTTTGTATTCTCTTAAGACAAAGAGTTTTCAGATAAGATGAAGACAGCATGTTGCAGAGTGATTTGTTCAGACTTCTACTTTTACAAGAAGTTAGGTACCCCAGCTTTAGTATTGTAAAATGGCGTAGTTCTGGTCAGCCAGACTAACACAGTGCATTTGTGTCATACTTGTAATAATGAAGAAATATGATCTTACATTTAGGAACTACTAACGAGAGACATTACTCACCAAATTACCCAATATCTTCCTCCTATCAACAAAAATAAAAATAATAAGCTCCATGTATAAAGCTCAACTCAAATGAATCTGATGAATGGAGAACCACAATTTTCTTCTGTGCTTGTTGACAAAGTATGTTCTCTCTTATTTTGATAGAAAACTCACAACAGCAGAACGTTTGCTGAAATTCCTCTGCACAGAACAGCAGTAGGACTAACAAGTTGGTTTAGTTCATATTATAACTCTTAAACATTTCCGCCACCTTCCAGCTCTTGCAATTCTTGTAACTTAGTGTATTTTCTAGACTGTATTCATAAGGATATTTCAGATTTTTAAAAGGTTTTTCCATGTGGACCTTAAGTGGCCGAGACAAATATCCCTCAAGGGACAATTTAGTGCATACTTTTCTCTTCTCTTTATGTGTAAGAAGAAATCTGTTTATTCTCCTTAGTTTAATCAATCTTGAATAAAGTCAAAGTAGATAGTTGCTTAGCCATAAATGTGGGTTTACTTCTGTTGTGTTTGAGGTGGAGCAGCAGTACAAGTGGATGCAGACGCACGGATGTGTTGAAGACAAAGACAAGGGCGGCTCTCCACAGACAGCTGTGGTGCTCACATAGTTGCAGAAGTCAATATTGTTTGGCAAGAACCGGAATGTCATTGAGCAGGTTTGACAACCGCTGTGATTCCTGAGGCTCCACTATGTAACCATTTCAGCATTAACATTCAACATGAATCTTGAACGATTTGACAGGACGTATTTAAGCCTTAAGTTAGTAATGAGAGTACAAGGCTCTGGAAGCAGCTGAAATGTACCTCATGATGTTGTGATTACATTATTACTGTCAGTGGACAGTCAGACCAGGAGCATGCCCCAGTGGCTGTTAAAAGCAGAAAATAATATTCTAAAGAGAAAACAAGTACAGGAACAAAAGAGTCTAGAAATTTTGTTTAGAAATGACATTGGTGACTCATAGTTTCACTGCATTATACCAAAAAGATGATTTCAAATATGAATCAAGTAAAAGGAAGCATTTATCTGTCATCGCGGCTGGACAAAAGTTGACAGTGTCTTCCTGCTTAACTCCATGGAGCCTGTTGGACCAGTTTGCCCTGTCAGCTTTGGTGAGTGGCACTGCTGATACTAAGCACAAAACAAATACTATCATAGATAGTTTCAGATTGAGATCTGAACATTTGGTCAGAAAGGAGATAATAAAAATGTAATACACATTTCAGCACCAAACATGTGACTTAACTTTATATTATTAAAGCTGTGGTACCTAAGTTGTTACAGTATAGTTTTATGTGCAAGAAAACCAATCTAGTTCCTCGTTATCAAACTGTTTGGATCCGCCACTAGATTATGCTCGCATTTTAGGCTCCGTCTTTTGATCAGGATTTTAGACTGAAAAGTGAAAAAGAGAGTATCAGCTCTCAGTGACTTCGAGGGTCTTTCTTGCAGTATGCACAAGATAACCTGCTTCTAATAAGATGAAGAAAGCGATATTGGGAATAAACGACGTGTGTTAATTATGAAAAATGAAAGTTAAGTACCCTAGCTTTAAAAGTATAAATTAGGCAAGGCCATATTGGTTTTAAAGGGGTGGAGGTGAGAGATTTCACTGAAATAATAAGACCTAATAGTGTGTGTTTTGTCAGTGCTCCCCAAACACCACAGCTCAATGTACTTCTGTGAACTTGTCCCACTTCCCACAATCGGAGAGAGACAGACTGGATATGTGCGAGGGGAAGCAGGTGGCATTTGTTTATGCAAGGACACGGTTCATGCAGGTACACTGCAAAAGTACTTAGTTGTACTAGTTTTAATTTCTAGGGAAAACATGTGTAATGTGTGATGAATAATGCCATTTGAAGTATTTTAGGGATCATAGGGTCTCTTTTATATTCCTATTAAAATAAGGACCAATTTATTTTGAGTCTGAGAAAAAAAGATGAATAATTATGATAATACTAGTAGTACTTTATCATTATAATACATTTTCTTTTCTTTGGACAAAAGGCAATGTATTAACAACCAGTATATGTATTATCTATATGTGACTGTATAGCAAAGTACTACAAAGTAGAATTGGCATCGGTCTTGTGCCTGCAGTGTCAAATCTAGGGTTACTTATATGTACCCAGGCTGTTAGTCCAACGTTGCACATTAACCAACTTTGAATGGTGTTTGAAGCTTGGCTGTAACATTTGAGTGAAATATTAGTCCCTTTTTTGTTCCGTCTGCCACAACATTGATTCATTTTGTTCAAATAGCAAAGTGCGCCTGCTGTCGAGTTCAAACAGCAGATTCCAATCGCGTAAACTCCCAAAAACATACAATTAAAACAACCATAACAGAACAGTGGCGTTAATTACCATCCTGCTAACTTTTCTTCAAAACGGGTCAAAGAAATTATTGTATTTGTTCATTTGAAACTGCCACTTTTATCTATTCTCATTTCTTAACAAGACTAGGGCAGTTCCAATGATGAAATCAAAAAGAAACAAATCAAAAGACATCAATAATGTGGACATAGCACAAGGGGATGAAGAGGAGTCAGGAGGATAGACGGCTTGTGAACTAACTCACTGTGACACTTTTTCAAATTTAGGAATTTAAATCCAACTGGAAAGTGAGACTGGTCATTAAAGGAAAAATGTGATTTATTGATTATGTTTTTTCCATATCGTCCAGCCCAAGGTAGAACCAGAATGAGCTGGGAAACACACACTTCTACCTAAAACAGCTGTAAATATACTGAGGTCTCGAAATCAGGAAACTAGACAAAATGTTGGACTAAAATGTATAAATCATAGACCAATAGAAAAGTATGTAGTCTCATATGCGAAAAAAACATTCTTTATAATATGACTCACGCAGCAGGTGTCCAGGGTCAAGACAAAACATGGGGAGGCAGCGTTTCAGATTTATGCAGCTAGGATATGGAACGGCCTTCCTGGGGTTGTGACTAGGCTGTCAAAACTAGGCTGAAAACATATCTCTTTAGCTGTGCATACAACTGATTGATTCTATCTCGTACTACTCATTACTTTTATTGGCCTTTTTTTTAAACCCACTTTTTACTGTATTTTAAACCCCATACTTTTATGCTGCTTTATCTCAATATGAAAGTTTTTTTTTTTTCGTGAAGCACTTTTGCCTTACACTTTTGCCGTACACGAATTGTGCTATACAAATAAATGATTGATTGATTGATTGCAGTGAGGCATCAGTGAGGCATCAGTGAGGCAAAAGGCATTTTGACCCGAGCTGAAGCCAAACAGAACACCACAAACTGAAACTAAAGAACTAAGGACAAATTAAATCGAGACAGTAAAGAAGCTTTGGCATCTCTCTGGTCTGGGAGAAAATAATTAAATTCTGTCATTCGATAATCGAAAAGCTACACCGTTCTCTTAAAAGCGGCCTCTGTGCACAAGCTGAAAAAAATGTGACAAAATTCCTTTCAAAGAAACTGTAGACAAGCCGGTAGATACAGTCTATAATGACCAGGAGATGACAAAGGCTTTGCTTATTATCACATAGTTCAAGGGAAAATGTTTTTTAAATTAGGGCACTTTTATTCAAAAGATTCAAAACTAAAAGTGTGGTGATGAATGTAAAAAGAGAGAGAGGGGCGGGGTGGCTTTGAAGACCACCTCACATTTTCTGGGTCATCGCACTAGGAGGTGTGTTTTCCTTAACTCCTCCAATTTGTTTTTTCAGAAAAGTCCCCGACAACTCAGTGAACTAAAGGAACAACAAATGCAACAATAGACGCCTTACATTCGCACAGACGGCACTGATAAAACCAATCATTTTAAACTGCACCCAAAGTTCAATTGCAGAGGTCTTTGTCAGTTTCAATGAACAAAAATACAGGAAAAACAGAAATGAGAACTACAAGCTTAGCAAGAGCAGTCAGATAAAGGCCATCACAATATTCTTAGCAGAGGAGTGTCAGCTGCTAATTCGAAATGCCTGAATGTGCGGATCTAGAAAACTCATTTTCCTCTTAACCAATGTCGCCCACTGAATCAGCTCCTAAAGCCACGCCAGGAAATACTCACTATCATCAAACACACAGACTGGTGCGGCAGTCTTTCCTTTCAAAAACACGCCTCAGGGAAACTCTTCTCCAGGCGACGCAAGTTTGACGATCAGAAACCAAGACTTCAACTAAGAGAGATGACTTAAGTGAGAGCTGGAGATAGGGTGAATGGCATGGACCTGAAAAAAAAAATCCTCCACAGCGTTTAGGTGAGCGCAGGATCACTGCATAGTCTCAAAGAGAGTTGGGAAATTAAGAAAATGCAGGGTTAGGATTTAAGATTATAGATGAGAGCTTGATGATAATTCAGTCAAGTTGCATACTGAGGCAAAAAGGCAAACGTTAACGTAGCCAAGCAAATTGTGATAAGGCCTCATAAGTCATCGTAAGGAGACGGCCTATTCATATTTACTGATGCGACTGTCTACTCTGAGGAAGAACTGGAGCAGGGGAATAGCGCGGGTGGAACTCAAAGCACCCCAGCCAAGGGGAGACTGGCAGGGTGCACATTCCCGACCTGACCCCCGACATTCCAGAAACAAACACTTATCTTTGCTCAGAACAAGTCATTCTGTACCACAAAATAGGGCCAAACATGTGCCATCTTTCATGGCTCAAACACACATGATTCTGTCAAGTTAATTGCAAGTGAATGATTCATGCTGTAAAATGTGATGAATGAATGGTGAAAGAAAACAGAATTTAGTCTACAGGATCACACAATGCAGGCCTAATTTAAAGACACAACAAAGACCCCGCGGTCTTTTTGGGGGTCAGCGGCACATCCCCTTTTGTACAACATACTGACCTACTTATTGAGCATGTCCCTACCCCCGCTGCTATTATTGTGTGAAACAAACTCATCATTCATTGCTGACGAGGGCACACATTTACCCCCGCGCTCTTGGGCCGTCCAAAGAGGGACACGATGCAGCCCAGAATCCGCTGCTCATTAGATTAGTGATGGGTTGCCTCTGCAATTAACTAGAATATACAGCAATTTAGTGCTCCAGTTTCCAGCATTCTTCTCTGCATAAGCCACTTGGGTCCCAGAAAACATTTGGGCCACACAAAAGGAGAAGCAAAACAATAAAGGATAATAAAAAGTATGCCCGGTTTTGCTTTGAATGTTTTCTACCGGACAGAAAGTGGATTTATATTGGCTGCAAAAGGCAATTTTTGAATGTTATTATGTTAACCTGTAACACACGCTGGGCCTTCTTCACGTTAAAAACAACAATCAAAAATATGAAGAATCGAGGGAAGGTCTTCCTTTTGGAGACAGAAAGAATGACTTCATCGTGCCATTTGTTAACACAGCACTGTTGACAAGTTCCTCAGAGAACAGTGAGTATGCCGGACAATAGCCAACACCATGAGTGCAGTGGATCCTGCAGCTTTCCAGGAAGCTCTGAACAAGGACAGCTCCAGAGACAAACAGGACACACGTGAGGTGCACGAACAATGTGTCTCTGCTCCACATCAACGTCCCCTTAACTCGCCACACTTTGGCTTAGAAACCAGAGGAAGTCATCAATTTGGTTTTAAATATCACAATACAATACATAGGCAGAAGAAACTATAGCACAATCTCTGCTTTGTCACAGTTACAGGCTGACTTTCAATTATTATGATTAACTTAATTAACTATAACAAGGATATTGGTAAAAATAAACAGATTTTGTTTGGGGATTTATTCAGGTGTTTATGGATCTTCCTTTTGAGCGCACAATTGCACAGCTGTGAAACTAGTGAAAGGAGAATAAATAACTTCAAAGCCCGGCCTTAACCTTTAAACTCCAACATATGGCCTGCCTTTCAATGCAAAACACGCATGCAGACGCAGCGCTCCCCTGATGTGCTGCTTATCTGTGCTGCTCTCTGGCCAGTGGCTTTCGGCCGAGGGGGAGGGTTGAAACGAGGGAGTGAACAGCCCGATTACCTGCTTGGTGTCCTCCAAAGTGGCCTGCAGTCTGCTTATCTCCAGCTCGTACTGCTCCCTCATCTTGTCCACCTCCTGATCATGAGCAGACACCTCTTCCTTCAAGGCGCCTTTCAGAGCCGTCAGCTCCCGCTCGCGCCGGTGCAGCAGCTCTTCCTGGTCCTCTTTGGCCAAGAGAGTCTGCTGTAGCTCGGCCTTTAACTGCATCAAATCCTAAATAAAATGATGAACAACTTATTACTTTTTACTTATAGGATGTAAACATGATATTGCGTCTAAAAAACCCCTGAAAATTCCTTGCAATTGGTTTGTAATCTAAAATGAGATCCATCTAGTGTGTTCAGAAGAATTTTGAAAGTCTAAATGATCCATGTGGTACAGAGCGCTTTTCCTACCTCTCAAGATAAATAATATGTTTATTTGTATTATAGTTTGGATTAGCTTATTTATTCTTCAGTCAACAACAAAAAACTATTACCCATTCATGATTTATAGCTACATTGTTAGGCAAGAATATTGCTCAAAGTATGTATATGCGGAGGAAACACCAGAGACATTCGGTGTATCTATAGAGAGAAGGAATACAATAACTTTACCGTTAACAGAGCATCTCTCTCGCCGTCAGCTGCTGATTTCTTGGCCGTGTCGAGTTCATCATGCATTTCTGACAGCTGGTCCTGCAAGTCTCGAATCTCGGTCTGGTACTGCTCGCGCTCCATCTTCACCTGGAAAAGCCTGACAGACAACAAGGCACTTTTACACCACACAATGAACCATCCACTTAGGGCAAACGCACAGGTGCATTTCAATTCACACATGGCGCGCCCCACACCTGGACCAGGCCCCACAGGGCACAGGGGTCCAGCCGACGCATGAGCTCTGGCTTCAATAATGTAAGTACTTTCACAGAGCAACAGTGAGAGGATGGTGATAAGTGATGTGAGGCTCCCTACACAGACCACAGATTCTGTCACTGTAAGAATTGGAGTAGCACTTGACACGCAGAGTACGTTTACAAAGCATAAAGACAAAGAATACAGCACATGCTAGAAAACAGGGATAAATTCAGTGTTGCTCCCAAACCAGTCTGATCACTCATGTCCTTGTCTACATGAACACCACAGAGCAGATGGAGCCATATGGGCCGTAAGGTGTCTTGTAACTTGTAACCAGTAATTGTAAATAAAAGTGCTATCATATATAATGCATAACACTTCTGACCATCACTTAATTTAGCACTAGATTTTCAAAAATGCTCGACTGCAGTAGCACACGTACATTTACCCATGTACAGTGAACTTTATCACAATGATCAAAACGAGTCAATAACTTATTCAAACACATAAGCATGACTTTTCCCTGCGCTTTTAAATCCCAGTAGGATCCAGTTTAAGTAGTTTCATACCAGCGTAAACGGAGTAGGAATAGTTCAAGCCAGTTAAGTCAAATGAACTGATTTTTCACAGCAGCGCACAGGTTTACATTTATCTTATTCAATCTGAATAAATTTGGACTAAAGAGAGTTATTTGGTTTTCACTGGTGCTTTGTAAATATACTCAAATGTTTTGTTTTTTCATACATGTGATGTGAAACAGACAAAATGTAGGTCACTGTATAGAAAGTGTCTTGAATGCAGGACCTCATGTAGCACTTCTGCAACGTCGGTGCCAAATTAGCCTGGCCTTAGCCATCGGTAAACTCCGGTCAATTATTATTTCCCTACATGTACATCTGGGTCTGCTCCCAGTGGCTGCCGTTACGTCGGTTGAATCCTATCCGACCAATCAGCAAGCGCCGAATTAGCTGGTTGCAGTTTGGCAATGGCGGCGAATGAGATAGTAAAGTAATCTGTTCTGGTTCAGCTTCAGAACGAATTGAAGCTGGAGCAAGAGGAATGTTAAGCAAATTTCACTGCTGGCAAATAGTTGTGGCTCTACTCCCCACAGGCTCCATTAGTGGCAAAGGAGATGCTAAAGCTAGGCTAAATGCTACATTCTAGCAACTCACTCGGGCTCATTACATACGTCACGGCAAACTCAGATCCAGATCCGTTTCAATGTGAAAATGGAGTTAACCCCTCCCACCTGTTAACGGAGCTCAATGGAGCAAATCCAGACCTTAATACGATAAGAAATGTATATGATGGTGTGGTAAAACTAGGCTAGTGCCAAAAGGGTTAAGTAGCAAAAAACAGTAACCACAAAAAACGTTTAAAAAATGAAAGCAGAAACGTTTCAAAACTGGTAACTATTGCCATGATCGTTTGTAGTGCAACGGCAAGCTAATGAGATTATATGCTTAAGTCTCAAGAAAATACAACCAAGCAAAACAAGGCAACAGAGAATTATAGAGTGAACAGCACTCACTCTTCCACGGTGGTCTGGAGGTCTGTCTCCGCTTTGGTCACTTTCCCTTTCAGACGTTGGCATTCTTCTTCGCTTTTCTGTTGCTCGTGCTGCAGCTCCTTCAAGGTTGATGTTAATCTTCTCTCAGTCTTTTTCTGTTTACAGAAATATACCACACAATTAATATGCAAAAGTACCATAAATAATTGTTGGACTCACCGTTGTTTGTTCTTCCAGTTGATTTTTGAGCTTGGAGAGTTCTTTTTCCAGCTCAGCATTCTGTCCTTGCAAGGCTCGGGTATGTGCAGAAATATCTACAGTCTAAGAAAAACATTTTATGTGTTAAGTTTTGTTGACTACAAATAGTCCTTTTGAGACTATAATATATTCCAAATCTTCACGTTACTATGTACAAAATGTTTCTTATAAATCTCAGACTTTTCATTTCCAGTGACCTTCAGTAGTTCAAAAAGAAGAAACAGGACTATAACAATGCCTCACATTGTTGTCGCCTTGAGCACTGGCTGTAGCCCTGGATTTCAACGTTTGAATCTTCTCAAAGACTAGGTTGACCTTCCTCTTAGTCGTTTCATCACTGTCACTGCTTCTGTGGACAGAAAAATATCCAGTCATTTTGAATTAAAACAAGGACATTGCTTTACATGGAAACGCAAGAGTTAAGTTGAGTTATTCCATTTCAAGCTTAGACCGCTTTGATGAGTCACCTCAAAGAAAGATCTGCTTCATTGCACAAAGAACACTATGTAATCAAAACACACTGGACATTACAGCTCCACCACAAACTAATGATAAGAATGTTATGTCTAAATCCAGGAGTGAACAATCCAAACTCTGACCCTCGACTTTCAAAATCGAAAGAAATAATGCATATGTAAAAATGTTGTCAGCAGCCATTTTACACGTTTTACACAAATGATATAAAATCCTTAAGTCAAAGTGAAAATGTTACTCCTATAACCACAAAACCAGATAGTATGCCAATATCGCGGCTCACACCCCCACTCTCCTCTTGCTGCTTGTGCAGATGATTTTCATTAAATCTTTATGGTGGTTCCTGGTGGGTGTTTGTCTTTTGGGCTTTGGGAATGTGGCTCAGTTTCAGAATCAGCACTTCCATCTGTGTTTCCTTTGCTTTGTCCTGTGACTCCTGACCTGGAGAAGGACACACCCGAAGGCTTCCTGTCCCGACTCCCGAGAATTATGGCATAAGACTTTAAATTACCGCTATAAGGGCTTAAACCATTAGCGGTTTTGACAATGATGTTGTCTTCAGAGTGGTTGTCAACTTATTCTTTTATTAGTAGGATTTATGAGGAACAATAACAGAGGAGACATGTGGAGTGTGACTTTATAATACCAGTGTGCCAAAATAACAAAATATTATGGGCACACTATTGTATACTGTGGGACCTGCCAGGAGCACAAACCCATCTCCAGGTGTCGCACACAAAATGATATTGTCACCTAATAAAACACATCTGAATAGGATTTTTCCCTGAAGTTGTCTGTTTTTGATCATTATCTGGACAGTTTTAGAGGACATAACAAAGAAGCAATACACTTTTTATAATTAAGAAGCCCTATAAGTTTACTATTGATATTATCTATACACATCAAACCATTATATTGCTGTAATTTGGTCACGATAATCACCAAATCGTCTATACTGTCTCGTATGGACAGAAAGTATGAACACTTCAGAGAAATGGATTTATCTGGAAAACAATCCCTGCACAGCTGGACCATTGGGCGCCTGATGAGAAGGTAAGAACTGCACATTCCAACAACTCCACAAACTTGGATCTAGTAGTCTCTACCCATTCCTTTCATTTATCCTTTGTTTATATTACTCAAAACAAAACAAAAAAACATGTTCCTTTAGACATAGTGTGATACTTTTTTATAAGCAGAAAAGGTTTTAAAAGTATTAATATGTTTTTATTTATTTTTTTACTCACCCATCTTTGAGGTAATTAAAGAGGATTTGCTTTGCAGTCTCTTCATGAGTTTGTTGTGATAGTGCTTGTTGACCTTTTAAAAGATCAGGTGTGACCTATAAAAAAAGAAAGTAAGAAATGGAGTAGATGTATTTATTTTCTACAAGATTGACAATATACTCACATGAACATCTGCCTCTGCAGTGGTCTTCTTGTTTAATGTTGCAGACTGCTTGGACAATGACGTTGATAAAGCAGTTGTAGAAATATTAGGAGCAGGGGAGGCTCCACCTTCACTTTTTGTGTATGATGTGCGTGTCTGTGGGTTTCTGTACCCTTTCATGGAGCTCAGCGTTTTGGAGACAGTGCTCTGGGGGGACCCTGGTTCACTGTTGGCTCTGGATGAAGGCCTCGAGTCTGGTTTTCCATCAACAGATGTGATCCACGAGTCCTGATGACCGCTCACCGACTTCCTTAGCTGCGATGGTCTTAGAACATGCTCCATGGAGGTCCCCCTGGTGTAGCCAGATCCTTCTCGGAGTCCATAGGCACTGTCCACGCTACGAGAGCGTTTGCGGTCCTCTGGGTTGATTCTGTTTCTACGCCCAGCTCGCCCCCTCCTCTGCTGGCTGCTGTCAAACTTTTCAATCAGTTCATCAACTCCAGGGATAGAGCCTGTGTCAATGTCTCTGCCTGAACCAGGAAGGAAGGGGATGTAGCGGCGGTTCTTATGTCGATTGATAGCGTCAGTAAACAAGGGATCTTGTTCATCAAAATGTGTTTTGGAGGTGTTTGTGGAGGAGGAGGATGAGTGTCGGGAGCGTGAGGGCTGAAGCACCGGCCCACTGGAGTCTATTCTCCTCAGAGGAAGAACATCTGGCTCTCGATGGTTCCCATCACTGGCATTATTTAACGCTGTGGGCTGAGGGGACATGGACTGAGAGGTAATGATGTTTGAGCTACGAGCTTTAGACTGTGGCTGAGCCACCTGCGGTTGAGCTACGTTCAAGGACAGCGAAGGCTGAGGCCGAGCTGCAGGTGTGTCAGAGGACATAGGGGGCTGTGGAGAATGTATACGGTCCATACTGGAAGACTGAGACTGGGACAAGCTGTGGACCGAAGACTTGGAAGATGAATTTTGAGACATAGGTCTGGATGGTAAACTATGGAAATTCAGGGAGTTGGTTTCGGGATCATAAGGTTGTAATATCTCTGGATGTTTTTGAAAGTTCAAAAGGGTAGATGAATTCTTTCCCAGTGAATCTAAGAGCCCATTATGAAGACTTGGATTTTGCATCATCATTTGAGCCCTATACTCCCCAAAGGGACTGTTTGAGCCAGCCTCCGTGCTGCCTCTGAAATCATACTCATGATAGTTCTCAATAAAAGAGCCGTCTGTGTCAACAAATCCATTGCTGTTAGGGTCCATGTATGGGGGCGGACCCTTATCCTGGTTATTTAACACAACGTACGGGTGTCCATCTATGCCTTGGACACGAATGCTGAGGCCATAGCTGCCAGCCACATTAGTGTTTGTCCTGGAGGAGCGCGAGGGCTGAGTGTAGACCCGCTGTGGCCCAGTGTTGGGCATGCCAGTCACTCGGTACGACTCCATGGGGAATGCAGGAGGACAATTATCCGTGTCCTTGGATCCGATGGCTCTCTTCTGTAAGCAAAGATTTAGAAAGGCTGAGGGCGAGGAACTGGCTTCGCAATAACAACACATATTTCTACACTTAATCTTTAATGAAGAATGAGGCACACCCAAGATTTTACCAGCTCTTGAATGGGCAGTAGAACCAGCAAGTGATTCTGTCATGTTTTAAAGTAAATACATTCAGGTAATGTTTAAAGGGCTTTAAAAAGAGGTGTGTGACTTGCAGTTTTGGTTTTACAAAATGACTGTTTACTGTGCAGCACAAAAGATGTGGGTTGAACAGATCTAAGAAAAAGCGCTGACAGCAGAGAAAACACATCATCAAAATGAGCTATAAGATCAGGGAAAAGTTTGAGAGTTGTTTCTGTACATAAATAAGCATCATGCTCAGCAAGATGGTGCGCAATTTTGACAATAAAGATTAGAGCATCAACACTTTGTCAGGTGTATAACAGAAGATAATGCATTGGCAATAAATATCAGACTGTCTACAAAACTTGAACTAGGCTGTTAACAGTTTAATGTCCACGCAGCCTAAAAACAAAGCTGTGTATAGAATGGTGCAGTTCTGAGGACAATGAGCTTTGAACAGGTTCCGTTTGTCTTGGTGACACTGTCCCATTCAACCTAGTGCTATAAGACAATGGCAGACAGAGATAGGCCCAAATGAGGGACACTGATAACATTGGCACAACAAAGGCTTGGGCAGGATGTGCTGTATCACATTCGCAAGGCTCATATCAGATCAAGCTGTGGGCCTGTAGCCTGTAACACAGTGTGTTTAGTGAAAGCCATCATAAGAAACTAATAATCAACTAACAATTTGTCTACAAAGAACATAATACGAGTTCACTCATTATTTATCATTCATTTAATTCTGCTTTTTTAGAGGTCTAAAAGATGATTGCTGACTGTTTCGCCAAACTTTTTGAGCCAAGGCAATAAACGTAAAAAGGATACCTCTATATATTTTAGACTATTTCTATGACAATAACATATGTCTGTTAAAATTTTGCTAAAACTTGTTGTCTGATATTCTAGCAGCAAAATGCAGAGCTTTGAACTCTATGCTGCACATTTCTCTATGGAGTGTTCTGTCGTAATTTCTGTTCCATTTGACTATAAACGATGTAGAGCAGAAACGATCCAGTTTTTTCAACAACTATCACAAATCTTTTAGTGAGTGATTAATCATTAACTGCTGTAACCACACACTCCAACATAAGTAAGAGTTGTGAAATTATTTGTTAAACTTTTATAAATGTGTTGAATGGTACAAAATGATTATGTTTACACATCAATTCACGAAAACATGTAGGCATTATAAGCAACTAATAATTAATCAAAATATGAATTGCTAGATTAATCACTTAAATAATCGTTAGTTGCGGCACTAAAACAATGGACCCTATCTATCCTCTAATCAGCAAGTGCAATATTATTTGTATCGTTTTAAAATATTTATTTCAAAAATTGCCCAACTCAAGATTGGCATTCAAGCTTTAGTGCCTCAGACATTGTTGGTTCAAATAAAAAGCTCAACTTTCCATACGCCTGGGTGGCCTGTGCCTTAGATGAGGCTGATGCAGTGATGACCTCTGATAATTGGGCAGCTTTAAGACTCTGACTGGAGGAAAGGAGGAGAAGGCATGAATGATCACAACAAGGTGCTGTTGAGGGAAACAAAACACTCAGTGGGTTCTTTCATGGCTCTGTCACCAATCACTAGTGACACAGGATGACTCAGGCTTGACTCAGATCACCTCTTTTTGTTTAACTTCCATTTCTGATCCACTGTCTCTGCTAATAGATGCTGTTTTGCCTGACCCATCACAAGGTCGAGATTTGTCCGAGGCGTTCATCCCTGCAGACAAACGGGTTAAATAAACTAGATTGGGCCTCCCCTGTTTGACCGCGGTGTTTTTCGTGTCACATGACCCCAGGGACAAACTTGTGAAGTCTGTCAAAGGTGAGTGGAAAAGATTAAATAGGTCTGGACTGTGGGAAAATGATTGTACATTGTGGTTACGCAATTGGCGCTTTCATGGCGTAACAGGTGGCGCACGGGGATAGAAAATATACATAATAAAATCAACTAATGCACAGTCTGGTCATTCTGTGCTCCAAGGGCGCGCACTGGGACTGAAGAGACTTGTAGAGCATTTTAAGGATTAATTTTGTCATCCCTGCACAGAGCAACAGGTGTTTGGAAACAAAGTGGAAGCACACATGCGTATCGCCCGCTTCTTACACTTTTGTCCACTTGTGCCACATTTCTGGAAGTTTTACAGTTTAATCCGGGGGAGTTACTGTAGCGATTGCGATGCGTCCATAATAAAGAAGTTTTACTCACCAGCGCCGCTCCTTCAGTGCAGTTCACTCTTCAGGTGTGGAATAGTTTACAGACTACTTACAATTAGCTCCCTTCGACATATGACGCCACACCACACTTTTCAAACTTAATCAGTGCTGAGTTGTTTGGTAAAACTGGCTCCAGAAGACTCTCCAGCCCGCTCCGCCTACTGCTGAGTGCACACGCCCGCCAAAGCTGCCCTCCCACCGGCCCCAGAGGCGCAGGAGCCCGCACCAAATGCATTGGCACCAGTTCCCTCCATACACCGACCATGTTCCCCCAGAGGAGACAGGCCCGTAACATGCACGGTACACTAGTTAAATAAATAAATAAATAGGGAAGTTTGATGACTTTTGACAAAAAACAGGTTCAATCCAACTTTATCCAGTCACACATTGGGACCAGACAAATAGAACTATTTTGTTCTATTTGTACCTTCAATTTAATCCAACACACATCAAAAATTTCACATAAAATATGAATAAATTAGAGCCTTTGTGCATGGCCTTTTTTTTTGCCCAATTTACATTTATATCTGTAAAATGCGACAGCGTCATCTAGTGGAAAGCGAGATAATTGATTGCAGGCTATAATTATGGCTCATCTCAAAATGCATATTGACAGCATCTATTGTTCATAGTCTTTTGAAAACAAAAGCATTTTAAATATGCTTTGCTATCAAACATGTTCATGATTTAAAAAGAAGGGCAGAAGGCTTATTGTGCTGTTGAAAAGGATAGTTACTCACAGCATGTTGGTACAGCGCTGCATGCCACATGAAAGCATCACAATATCAAAGTATAAGAATGCCTGTAATCTTTCTGATCTATGAAATGTGCAGGAAAGCTCCTCTGGACCCCAGACTGAGCCATTCCTTTTATATGTTTGTGTTTGTGTTCACGGCACAAGCTTTAATCTAAGTTCAGTGCCACTGAGTTGAGTTACAGACACACAATAAAAGCTCTGTTCTCATCTGAGGTGGCACAGCTGGGACCTCTGGGCAGGCTCAGTACGTGCTTTCTTCTTCTGATTACCACCAACTCCAGCTTCCAGCAGCAAATCCCAAAATGTATGTTTTTCTGTACCTCCTCTGATTTAATATTTTCCAGTGCCATCTGAATCCTCAGCTAATTCAATAACTAGTGTACCAAAACAACAGGATGCAGATCCAAGAATAAACTCTGTTTCAGGAGGCAGACTCTGTGCAGAGCTGGAGCCGAGGGAGAAGATTGTGCTGAAGAAGCAGGAGGTGCAGCAGGCTTCTGGTTCAGCTTCAAGGATGTGAGCCAAGGAGAGTCAGCTGCTGCTCTGTGACAGGAAGTCAGCCGTCAGACTGGTGGTCCCACTCCCACTACAAGTATGAACATCCACCAGAAGGAGCCCAAAACACCTACGCACTCCACTCAGTCCTGTAGCTGAGCGAGGGCTCCGGATACCTCTGTTCCAAAGGCCAACGGGATAAATGCTCTGAGGACATCTGCACAGAAGAAACTCACTGCAGATGTCTCAGCTTTAGATTTATAGTCCTCAAGTATAAAAGCACGTACACAGCAGCACGATGGGATTCATTAACTCCAGTCACAGTGAAGAATGACACAATGAGAATCATCCCCAAATGTAGCCCTGCACTCAGAATGCATCTATAAAGCAGACTGTAGAGGGACAATTGAAAACAGGTCCAACCGAATATCCATCTTCGATTATGTTGACTCCTCCAAACAGAATATATTGGAGTGGTTTGTTCAAGTATGACGTTAAAACATTTACAGTATGCTGCTATCACACTTTATTCAAAATAGAAACATTCATTGTACTTTTACAAACTATAAACATCCACATTTGTTAAATACCATAAAGCATTATAAAACACAATGTTCCCTATATCCACTGCATCAGTCCCAAAACAGCCCATTTCCTGTGTCCATCCCTGGTTGAAAAATGACAAAAAACTCACGGTGAGATGGAGAAAAGACAAAAAACAGATTTGCTCCCAACGTAAAATAAATACAAAATACAGCTGTTTACAAAATGGCACATTTATTGCAACATAAATGTTATATACATTTTCATTCTGTTGAAAAAGACAGAAATCCATTCTGTTTCTGGTGTGAACCAACAATACATTTTCTCTTGACACAAGTAAGTCTTTTTCTCCAGCAGAATAATAAGTTGCATTTTACACCAGTTGCACTAACCCTGCAACAGCACCGTATGCTCTTGAGATTACACCAGTAAATTTCAGGTAATAATGGGCTGGCTATTGCAAATAACCATAGATTTTACTATCTAATATAGTAAAATAAAGTAAGAAACTTTTTACTCAAAATTGTTGTTTTCAAAAATCTAGAAAGAGTAATATTTAGATCTCAAGAAATATTCTTACATTATTATTGTATAAAAGAGTAACTACCGTGAACAATAAGCCAAATGTGTTTTTTCCCATTCTATGAATTAGCTTTTCACGCATTGTACAGAGGAAAGCATCTGGGAGAACAGCAAGTCTAACTTGGCAAAAAGCGGAGTGAAGAAACAGAAACATAATAAAAGGGACAGAGCAGATTGTGCATGGCATTAGATTTAGAGTCGTCTTCTGCCACACAAATACATGTTCATGAATACTGACTGGAACAAGGCCACGTTCAAAAACACAAAATTATATTTTTAAGATACCAAATAATATTAAATGTAAACTATCAGTCTGGCATAGTATCTATGGGCTGCCATGGATTTGTTTGTACAGAATCTCTGAATGTGGTAGCCTTGTTTAGGATGAAAAGACAATGACAAACAATATATAAAGAAAATATATGGAATATAAAGTATTAAGACGAAAGACCAAAAAAATTGAGAAATGTAAGCATGCACACTGATATGAACAATAAAACACAGTTTGAAAAAAGAAAATATCAGTTCAGCTGGACATACGAAGTCAAAACCCAGAGGTTACAACATAAAGAGGCAAAACTATATTCTATTGAAAAATGAAATTGTATATTTTGAGTCACTATTGTTATGTTCATCAGGCCAGAAAAATCAGTGGTCGTCGTTTAAAAGAACTACTTCATCAAGATCATGATTATAGCTGCTGGCAAGAAATGACATAACAAATCCTCAGGCTAAATATAAAAGCATGTCACTGTTTACATAAACACTATATGGCAAAAATGAACAGGAAACGCACGGGCAGTGAGGTCCCGTGTCATCTTTAAGACGCTAACACACTCAGGGAATGCTAAAGTGAATAGTGGATACTCTCTGCTTTTCTACCAAAGACAAGATTTGGGTATTTTCAGTAAAGCTAGAGTTTGCCACTCACCTTTGTTCATCTAGTCCAACTAAACCGGTCAAACTATACAATAAAAGGTTTTGTAGATATGGCTCCATTTGTAACCAGTGGCAGAATTCATAAACAACAATTTATATAAAAAAATAAATAATACATCTTTAGTCAGAGCTGGACATAAGTGACAATTGTGTTGGGCATAAAAAATTTAACTAAAAAGAAGAGATGCGCCAATCCAACTTTGTTGATATTAACGATTCGGAAAATATCTGATATCAGCTGATACCAGTGCATAATAACAAATATCATTCATATATTATTTATCTAAACATGTAACAGTTTACCGTGTGTTACTAATTCATCTACACAACAGCAAATCAAAGTGCTGGGTCAATGACCATATAAAAACATTAAATCAATATTATGTAACCAAATGCCCGATTCAGTACAATTTCCTGCATAAAAAATACTGGTATTTCAGCTCCTGTGCCCATGGACTTATGCTTTCAGTATAGACTTTCCATACGTGAGAAGACGAGTGCTTGGTTTATGACGTTATGAGATCGTGTCTATTCCTTGTGTAAATGGTGACACTGGCAAACTATAGATAAACTGAAAAGCTGCATACTTATCTTTGAAATTGCTAAGCTTTCCCTTTAAACAATCAATAATAGAATAAATAAAAAAAGCTAAACAAACAATTGTTACAATGCATTCGTCAATTCAGTTTAGGCACAAGGCAATGTCCACATACACTGTGAGGAGATTGCAAAGTCTGATTGTTCAGAAGCAACACACTTCTTGCAGATAGTGATATGTGCTTAGATTTTTTCAGGGGACATTTTTGCAGTTCAAAAACTAGATGCAAGGTTCCACTTCAGTCTTGGATTGGTTTGCTTTAGTCTCGCTTTCACGCTTTACTAAGTGGTCTGTCTCCTCAAATTGTTGTCACAAAATCCTTTTTGTCATCAGGAACCAAGGTTTCCATCTCAAACTGGAAACAATGTATTGCCTGTATGATGTTGATCTGCCAAGACAAACACATAAGCAGTTGTGAGAGATTTATATTGAATAAAGCCCTTAATGTTTATGTCAACATAATAATCAAACAAAATGATGCTACCTGCAACTCAGAGATGGCCCATTGGGTTGGATGCATCTGTCATTCCTGGATGGACATGGGATTCAGCAGGGCCTCCAGACACTTTCTCCTCCTCCCTTCTTTTTAGACAGGCTGCCTTGGGGTTCAAATTCCTTTCTGTGGAACCAAAGCACAAAGCCGAAAATGAATACATAAATTAATACTCGTGGGTTGATAAAACATTTGTCCTAGACACTAACCTCTGACTTGCTGCTCAAGATTCAGGATGACAGCCACAGCCTGATGAAGGATGAGCAGTTTTGTTTGGGGCTTCTCGCTCTTGAGGTGGAGTTGGCACATGCGACCGAGCTCCTTGAAGGCCTCATTGATGTCTCGCACCCGGAGGCGTTCGCGGGCGTTGTTGGCCATCCTCCTCTCGCGTTCCCGCTCTGCCTTCTGCTCTGGATTCAGGTCTTCATCTTCAGTAATACTATTTAAATATGAAAACAAGCATGCAGTTTTTTTCAAATTGTCCGCTGCGATTTCCTCTGAATGTTGTAGCTATACCTTGTGCGGGTGCCAGAACGAGGAGTCTTCATGTCTCCTCTATCACCATCATCATCTGATTTATCATCTCCAGACATGCTATCAAGCAGGTCGTCTTTGTCCGGTTTTTCCACCTTCAACTCCAGGTTTGCGGCCACCTGTCCACTAAGGACGGCGGTGAGATCTGATAAAAAGATATCACACAGTTCATTAGATGAATTTCCACCTAAACAGAGTCATATAGATTCACTAGGCTCACTTCTAAATGTCTCCACTTGGTGGATGAGGTCTGTGCTGGATGTGGAGCTGGCACTTGGAAGGCCTCCGTGGCTCCTGCTCAGACTGGTGGCATCATCAGCATGTGCACCCCCCTTAAACACAAGACTGATAATGTATCTCGAGAGTTTTGCACATGTGACTTTGTGAAGATGTAATAAAAAGCAGGGACTGTGTTGCAGAGTCAAGGTCACCCCCCTTTTCCAGTAGGAATGTGATCCTTCGTCACTGTTGGCCTGTGTTAACCCCAATGCTCAGGGACCCCCCTTTTCTATGCACAGCGCTAATGTGTGCAATGCACTCAACAGGTGTCTAAACAAGTCTTTGTCTGGAGGAAAAGAAGCAAGGCCTGAGCTCTGCCATTTTCATGGTTGTGGCTGATTACCATACAGCTGACTGCTCCTCTGGGGCGGAGGCTCGGGCTGAACACACTTCAGCATTTCAGACTCTCCGTATTGTTTAAAAAGTGCTGTAGGAGAGGGGTCTTTGTAAAGCGGGCTCAGTCCTGAGACATGGGCAGACGTGAACGATTTGCAAAAATGTACACATAGTAAATCATTTTCAATACTCAAATAGATGACCTTAAGGGTTTTTGCTTTTATAGATCAGTAAAAGTTTGGTATTGTAACGTTTCTACAGATTAAGTGGTACTATTAGTCTACCTTATTTGTTATTTACACTCTTCTTCTGTGCAATAACTAGTGATTAAAAGGATCTATGGAGCAAATTAAGTCACTGTTCATGCAGCAATAACACAGATAAAATACATTTTGAAATAACTTTTTGTGAGAGTGATAGATTATTTTGAGATTTCAAATTATAATAATAACTATAACAATTATAACAAGTGTAGCTCAGTTGAACACTCTGCACTCAACTCACAAAGAACCAGCCCCTCATTTAAATATATAAATTGTATCTATTGTGTCTAATCTATTGTGTTGGAGAATGCTGTTAATAAGACAATTGGTGAAAAAAACAAAGTCCAGAGGTTTCTGTTGTTTTTCTGTTTAGTCAAGATGTAATTTTGGAATAGACGTAAAATTACCATTGCAGTTGTCCGATTTGGAACCAATGCAGAGGCGGGGAAGTTTGCGCCAATTGAAGCAATTGGCCCATTTTGTGCCTGTCCCAGCAGACTGTGTATGTCGCTGGGCAGACTGGCAGTGGAGCCCACTGCATGGTTCCTCAGAACAAGGATTGCATCATCGAGTCGGTCCAGGCGATCCTCCATGCGAGACTGAAAAGAGCAAACAGATGAAGAATGAACAGTTTCCAATGAGTGACAGCTTTAAAGAAGAAAATAAGCAATGGAAACTTAATTATAACAGTATCATGTAGACTCTGAAAAAAGCAAACACAAATCAAGACATATATAATCAAAATAAAAGTGTTAAACAATACAATTTCAGAGTATGATTGACAATCTGCAACAATAATGTAAAAAGTTGTGTTTGGCATTGGTCATGAAGTGAGGTCCGTGAGAAAATAATACAAGAAATGATCAGGCATAAGATGGCAAGGAACGCTTAATGATAATGAGGAACATATTTTGGAATCAGGAATACCTCACAAACATCCTTTAAGAAAGACATGGCATCCTGAAGATGCTCATGTAACTGCTGATGAACCCTGTTTTTCTGTTAAGTAAAATGAAATCAAAATCATTATGTAGTATATAAACACACAGTGTAACTGTTTATTGCAACTTACAATGTTGTAAGATTGTTACATACATACACAATTTTTGTAATGATGAAAAAACAATAGAAATGTTATATATATGTGGTAATAATGTGTTTTTCTCATTCACAGATCTATTGGCAGTAAACTGAATGACCGATAGGCATGTGCATCCCAGACAAGCCATAAAAAGTTTAACATATTTTCCATACAAGTAGCTGGCCAAATGACATCATCCGCTTTCCTCTGGACGCTCCACTCATATTTACTTAAAATCATAGTTAAAAACATAGATTTTTACAAAAACACAAAAAAGTGTATGCAACGTTTCACAGACATGACAGTGAATTTGCATCTGTGCCAATTACAGTCATAGTTTACATCAGCAGCTCGTCACATGACGCAAAGGAATCCCAGAGACCTGACAGCTGCCCACACTCCCCCCGTCACCCAAGTGCTGCACCGCAGACCCCAGGACAGATGGCCGGCCCCTCAGGACAGGTATTGTTTAGTTTGGTTGTGTGTCTCCCCCACATTTCCCAGCAAATCATTTGTCTCATAGGAATGTTTGCAATTCAAGATCAACTTGTTTCCCCACTGGACAGCTTCAAAAAAGGAGCTTACCAGTGAGTGGAGGGAGCTCTCGTAATTTGGAGAAGATGGAGTCTGTCCACCTGTGCACGGCCATGGATTTGTGCCTATGAAGAAGCAGAAACAAAAATGTCAGAAAAATCTGTATTGTAATTGTAGAACAGGAACTTAGTGTGTTAGTGACTTTCATCAACAGACAATTGTCAGCCTGCCCCAGGTAATGATTGATGAATTAAAAAGTGTCTTTGTGATTAAGGGAGTGTACTGAAACATATTTAAAGTTGCTCACTTTTCAAAAACTCTAATTACACAACTAATAAAAATGACTTTGGAAGAGGGAATGAGAAAGTCTGTTCTGCTTCAGATTTCTCTCCCAGGTGAAAAGACGGGAACATAACATGTGAGCCTCTGTTGGCTGGAGGCAGTGAAAAATTAGCCTGGGACTCTGGTCCCCGTTTGCGCTGGCGAGGGCTAATTGAACAAACCCGTCTTGAGTAATGTGTTGTATATTGGTGTAATTCTGATGATAAATGGATTTTGAGGTTAATATCAACAGTGAACAAAATTTCTGTGCCAAATTTAATTACTGTGTTTTCTCTTTCTTCACTAACTCATATTAATTGTTGACCTTAATGCAGGATTGTTTCTGATGAAATGCACCTAAATAAAAACAGTTTTCCCCCTAAAACTAAAATAAATATATGAAGTATAAATACTCTCCATATTAAATACACAAATGTAAAAACCACAGGCTGCTGCAAAAGAAGTAGGGCTGCACTGTTTTGGCAACATTTCTAATGGTGATTTCAAATCAAAAGAGAGTGCATCAAACATTTGAAATTGCAATTGAGATGCAGCCCAAATAGGACGTACCCTGGGGTGACCAATATGGGTGAACTAAAATTATATACCTTAATTAATATAAATATTACAACAAAAACATCAAAACACACACCAATCACATATTTTTATGAATGAATTGCTAAACAAGCAATCTTCAATAAATGTATAATTAATGTAACAATAATGTATTTTTGTTCATCGTAAACTTTAGAGATATATTGAAGGGAATTGAAGGTCCTCTTTATCAATTATGGTATCAGTAGGCTCTGAAAGATTCCCTGCCGAAGTGACAATTGTGGCTGACCAGACGGCGAGGTGGGGCTTAATGTAGTTTGGAACTGAACCAGAACTGTGCCCTAAAGGAGCAATACAATACTACATAATGCAAATGTCTTTGTAACTCAACCAAGTGCTTGAGCACAGGTGAGGGCGGGGTGTGTAAACAGAGGTTTCATCTGAGAGGGCATCATGGCCTTCCTCATCAGCTGAGTCACAATCCCTTTGCACATAATTGAGGCCTTTTGCAGCCAGGCGTGCGCATGTGTTTGTGCACGAGTGTGTTTGTGTGTCCATACGCATGTGTGCGTGTGTGTGTTGGGGCACAGCTGTCTGTGGGGCAGGGCAACAGCTGAGGATAAGGGGGGCATACGAAGAGACAGCTGTCGCCAGTCCATTACTACAGATGACAAAACTGTCCAGTTTAACCAGGGCTTTCCCCTCTCTGTGTCCACACAATCACTTTCTATTAGTCACAAACTCCAGTCTGTACCTTCATTGAAAGACTGTACCTCTGGATTTATAAATGTGTTGGTAATAATTGGTTTATGTGATCCAACATGGTCTAAATAATCAAAAAGTGTATCAGAGAATACTTATGGTTTCTTAGAAAACAATTAAGCATAAACATGAAACCTTTACTGACCCTTTGCCTCAGGTTGATTAATTTAACTAATTCTACCAAGAAGGTAATTACAATGTCAGATTAATTACCATTATTCTGGTCAAATCATTATTCAAGTTTAAAGAGGAAATTTTTTTCATTAATAATAAACCGTTTGCGTAAATGAGAACGTACTTTGTCGGCCAGTTGTGGAGCCTGCCGCCGTAACCACTGTTCCCGTCGATGCTGCACCTGCAGTAGCTGTGAGGGGTGAGGGAGAGCCCACTGGTGTGGACGGGTTTGAAGGAAAACTAGTGCTCGTATGGTCGGGCGAGTAAATCTGTCAGAGGGAAACAAAGCAGTTCATTTTTATTCAAATGATGTATAGCAACACATTTGGAATTATGAACTCGATTTATTTTTTATAGAGACAAGATACAGATTTAAAGACAATGTAGATTGTTTGGTGTTGTCTTAAATATTGAGTTATTTTTAAAAGTGATTATCCCTAGTGGCACTATGCCAGTTGTAGATCCAACAAGGGTTAGACTAAGGTCAGGAAGTTTCCGTATGACAAGTCAATCACAAAGGACAAGGGAGATTACTCCTTCAGAACTTTCGCAGGGATTTGTATAAAGAAATGTGGGATTAAAGCACTATTGCCTCCCTGTTTTATCTGTTTACTTAGAGGCTATTGTAGCCTTATAGAACACGTCCTAGAGAACACAAGATATTAAAGCCGTATCCTGGCTAATTAGTGAAAAAAACCTTAAAACAAACAACCCAAAAAGATTTCTGTTCCATGATCAAATTAAGGTCAAATGAATAGTTTTGAGTAAGTAGGGACGATAGAACACACTCATTATTAATAATCTCCTCATTTAATCTTGATCTCTGGGCTTTGGTTTTTCAATCAACTTGGAGTATCAGGCCAGAGGCTTCACTGAAGTATGTCACTGTGAATAGAAGACTGCCAGTCATAAGATGGCTACAGACTACATGAGTTTTTGCCCTATTCTCGCATGACTTTTCCCAAAACAAGGTCTGGGAGGTAAGGCCTGAGCAACAATTTGATTCTTGATCAAATATCTCTAAAACTAATGACTAAAACAGTCTGTGCATACATTCCACATTTTTACTAAGCTGTGGTCAGCAGCGACACATTTCTTTCTTTTTACAGATAAGCATTTTAGTTCATTCTTGAATAAAAAACATAAGCAAAGCTTAGTGCAAGTGCATTTATGACCATGACTTTTGTGCAAACAATGTGAAATTAACTATTCTGTTCAAACAGTGGCAGGTAACAGTAAGTTACCGGTATATTCAAGATGAAACATGAGTCTGGAATAAATGAAGCTCCGCCTCTTCATCAGTTACGCTCCCCCAGGCGCATGGAGCCAATAAGCAGAGCCAATTTAAAAGGGCGGAGAACAAAAGCTCTAAAAAGAGAGGCCTATGGAGCTGAGCCACTGCAAGTCCCAGAGCTCTCTGTCACATTGACACACCCCCACCTCTCTCCAGCCGTGTCCATTTCAACTCAGCTTTGTAATGGTAATGATATTGAGTCGGCAAACCCTCAATTGTCATTATCGTCACTAATCTCTATATTCTTATTGTTGTAGTGCGTTTTATCAATAAAACATACTTTTTATTATTTTGAATAATAAATAATTATTTATAAGAATAACTTACAATGAAGTGATTCTATTGAATTTACTTTAAACCTGAAACTGGAGATGACGACAAATATTCTTTCAGGATACGTTTTTTGAGCAAGCACATCATGATTGATTATATTTGCGACTTACTGAAGCCAGGGCTTTCCCCAATGCATCTCCTGTTTGTGAGCTCCCAGTGGCATTTCCCCGATTTGCAGCAGCTATGAAAATAAAGACAAAGGTTTAGCGCAAAGAAGAGCTAGCATGCAACAGTCGTCATAACCTCACTGAACTTTTATAATTGAATTTAAAGGAAGGGACGACTGGAACAATGTAAACTTGTTTTTATGGACCGCCAAAAATGATTGTTTGTCCTGGTGCACTTTAAGCCAACACTTAGTTTGTTGAGATGTGAACACTTGTACACTAGTCACTTCTTACAACAGATCAGTGACGTTATGAGGATTGTTGTGTTTGATTCTGAAGTGACCAATACTTTTGTGCAATGTGGATAGAAAGAGCAAAGCACCTATGACTTCTGCTGTGTTGACAGATGTTGTGTGCGCGGCTGTGACGAAGGGTGACGTGCTGGAGTTGCTTCTGTGAAAACTGGACATAGGAGGAAGACTGGAGTTGATGTCCGGAGAGACAGAGTGTGTAGGGTAATTCTGAAACAGGAAGAATAATAACATGAGACTGAGTGAGATTAGCACAATTACTCATGCTGCAGAGCTGTGATCATTACAAAATGTGTTATTCCTTGATGCCCGTTATCAATCGATAGTCAGTATTATAATAGTCAATATTTCCAGCCCTAACTGAGATAAAACTAGTCCTAACTCTATCTGTTCTAACAAGAGTAAAACATAAACCTAAGAGCTATGGAGCTAAATATGAACAAAGAAACTGCAGAAGGAGTGGACCATGCTAACCAGCTAGCTTGATAAAGCCAAATAGGGAATTGGTCAAGTTAGGACCATACTCTATTTGGTTCCCGTTCGCATTAATTTAAGTTAACTCACTCACCATTGTGGGATTATAAAAAAAAATGATTTTCTATTAGTATATTCTCTGTCTACATCCTAAAAAATGACAAACCAAAGTAAAAGAAATAAAACCTGTAAAGCATGTAATAGTTGTGTCAGTGGCATACCAGTCGTTCATGATTGTGGAGGCTGCTGTAGTTTCCTGACTGTGGCATGTGAGATGAAGATCCACTGAGCATTCCTCCGTAGCCTGTCTGACTGATCCCATTGGACGAACTCCACGGGTCGGATGAACTGTGGGTGCCATCTGATGGCGGGAAATTGGAGTCATATCAATGCATTATGTTTCACTTGCCACTTATCTTTATCTGTAGTAAGTAAATGGTAATTCTATTGCATTTGCATGAGGCAAATATAGTTCTAAAAGTACAAATGGTCATAATTTTGTAATAAATATAATGATGGAAATATCTCTTGACCTCACCAAAGAAAGTGCTTGCAAATATACTGCTTGTGGGTTTGGGCGAGTTGTATGAAGGGGAATCTCTGCTGAACTCTTCTGTGCTAGGAGATGCTGCATAAACCTGTGGAAAAACTTCAGCGTTAATATATACAGAGAAAGTGAGACAATCTAAACTTCTGACAAGAAAACATCACGATGTTAAATGTAGCCGAAGCAGCTCATTATATGTTTCAAATACTGTAAAATGTGGTTCATCACAAAATTCAACATGACTAAATTAAAAGATGTGAACAACCACATGGTGAAAAAAACACGCACAAACACTTTAATGACTCACAAGCAATCAAGCTCATGAAGGGAGGAGTGGATTATCAAGGGTATTTGCATTTCAGATCAACTCAACCTCTAATGGAAGTATAATGATACCCGCTTACTTGCACAGACTAAATGCCTTGCAAATTACAGCATTCCCAGAGAGGCAGAAATCAAATAAATGGGACAAAAACAACCTGCTTTGCTGCTTTAAATGTGTACCTGTGCGATGGTAGCTAGGTGAAAGGAGAGGCACAATGAGCATGCTGATGTACAGCTGTGTGAGTGCCAAGCGAAGCAGGAGGATCAAAGGCAGCGCAGGCCAAACACCACTGATGTGGTTTCTGACTTCATCGACTCCAGATGGAGAGGGAGCGCAGAAGACCAGAGACAGGAGACTAAACTCTTTCACACAGACAGCACTATAACGGTAATGAGAACCAGCCAGGACCTGTCCTTTAGATTACACCTGTGCAAGGCCAAAATGTAATTCATAAAAAGTTTAACTCCAAGAGTAAGTAGTAAGTAAGTAAGTAAGTTTTTATTTATATACCGCCTTTTCACTGCAGATCTGAGTCTCAAAGCGGTTTACAATTGTTAATTTTTGGGGCATTAGTCTCTCACTCCACACAGAGATGGGAGCGGGGCCAGTACAGGAGGCACATGCCAGAACTATTGGACATATTTTTAGTGGTAGGGGAAACCGGAGTACCCGGAGGAAACCTACGCAGACACGGGGAGAACATGCAAACTCCACTCAGAAAGGCCCTGGTCCGACTGGGATTCGAACCCAGGACCTTCTTGCTGAGAGGCGAGAGTGCTATCCACTCAGCCACCGTGCCGCTTAGGCCGCAAGAGGACATGTGACAATCGCATCAGTAGAAACCAACAAAAAAGATTCCGTCCATTTAACGAGAATAGACCATTTATTCCAGTCCCATTCGCAAACCAACTGATGTCACAAAGGTTACTATTTTATTTTTTTTTGTTAGAATAATAAAACAACAAAGGTCAAACACATTTACGAAATAAGATAAACAATACGAAACACAAAATTGAGGGTTGCTGGTGTAGCAGAACATGGCTTTGGTACCTCTGACTGGGTCATTAAAGTACAGGGGTCTTAAACATGTGACCAGTGTGAATCATGACAGATCTGGTAAACAATCAAAGGTCAGCATATGACAGCGGATAGAAAATTACCAACCATTAACCAATCATTAGAAGTAAAGCATTTCAAAACATAGTGAGTGCTTCATTCCACAGTGTTAGAGGGATTGGGCATAGAATAAATTATACAATGCAATTACCTCCCAACAGAAATGCCTTGGTTAACTTTGTGATGGAGGGGGGTGTGCGTGTTCATAAGTTCAAATAAATAGATAATAGATTTTCCTTTTTTTATGTCTTTTTACATAAAGCATTGAGTTTCTTTTGTAGCAAAGAGTACATTCATAATTCAGATGATTATTACAACTTTTTCCACAGATGTATGTTATAAGATGGCTTTGATGACATACATTTAAAACATCCTTTCATGTAGATAGATAGATAGAACTTATGAGTCACTCAGCGTGAGTATGTATTTTATGTTGAGACAACCTTTCAATGCTTTTCAACCTCAGTCAGCTTTTACTGACAACTACACATTTTCCACACACCTTTCCCTCTGTTAAGACTTGATACTTGCCTTTGAAGTCCATTCCACATCAATCAAAACATCTAATGTAAAACACTGGACCCTGATCCACTTCAACATAGAGACATTGCATAAGAAAAGTGGAATCACAAAAGTTAAAAAATATCAGGCGAAGTGCCAGATAGTTCAAAGAGACACAAACCATGTCCTAAAGCTGTGTCCTGTTTATGAGATTGTAGCCATTGCTTGGAATAAAGCTGAATCTGTCTGAGGGGCATTTTGTTTCTATTACAGCTCTAGTGGGGCTTGGCGTGAGAGCTGCAAAGAATGCCTTTTCAAACCAGACCTGTGTCTGCTTTGAAGAGTGTTGCACGCAGACGAGGTGAGCCACAAGTTTAAAAGTACAAAATAAGTTTAAAATGTTTCCAAACAGAAAAATACATGTTTTAAGAAACTGCTCTGCAATGACAAAATTGTTTTGTTGTGCAGAAAGAAAATGAAAGAGCGCTACTGACTAATTGCAATAGTCTTGTTAAACACGTATGTGCAGTACATACAGGATAAAGAAAAGCCCAACACAACAGGCACTACACGTGCTGCGTTATGAGATAATAAGGATTACCTGCAGGAACAAACGCACTGACCTGTTGCACTGCAGACGAGATTACATCATAAAACATAACAGAATATGGCTGCCTATACTGGTTTTAAAAGGCTGCCTAACTCATCCTTTTAAAACTTTACAACAGTCCCTATCTATCATGTCTTTCACTCTTACTCATTTCTGTTTATCAGAATAAAGATTATTCAGTTGCTCCATCTGCACTGGTTCTGTGCCACCAGCCAATGGCCCGCTGTGAATTCTTCTAGTGCTGCAGATGGTGATACTGCCATGCCTCTCTGCATTCTACCAAATTAATATGGATCATATTGTTGCAAAATGAGCTCCATCCTTTACTTTCTGATGAAAAAGAACAAAGAATTTAAAAAGCTTTTGATCAGGGTTTAACCACACATGTACACATGCTATCAATTCTCTCTCCATCACCGAATGTAACACAAGCTGTTAATACTTAATATTATGGAGATCAAAGTCAGTTTTAGTACAGTTGTTCTTGTAGTAATGGAATGGGAAACATGCTTTAGAGTACATTTACAATTTAAAAATCTAAATATCCTTAATATAACGTTCAAAAGTTAAAGAGTACATTGTATACATTTTGTAAGAAGAAAGTTGTTTAACAGACCAAATCTTAACCAAAGTGGATCAGATAATCAAATGAATTGTGTCTTCAAACTTGTAAACTTATCAAGGTTCCACAAACTCACAAAAATCCAAGAGGTTTTGAAAGAATAGTTCAGAAATCACATTAGACTCCCTATGGCGTCAAAAATGCCAATGTGATTAAAAACAGATGTAATAATAGCAACACGAGTGCTTGGAGCTCAATCTGCAAACAGGAAAGTCTAACCTCAACAGGCAGGCTCTTTCCCTAATCATTCCCAGACTCCCACTTGTTATTATTTCAACCAGTCTCTGAGCCCGAGTACTCAGCCAGTAAAAATAAATTCAAGGCTTCATGACAACGTTCTGTCCTGCTTTTTACTTTTGGTGTATAGGAAATTAGTTGGGAAAAAGGCATGACTATAAAATACAAAATAGTTTTAAGACAGATGAAATGGCAGGCTATACTATTTAATTTGTCCTGGGACTTGACTATAACTGAGGGAATGGAAACTCAGTTCAAGCCAGCAACTCACACATGGACTGACAAATACTTCTAAAAAGTACTTTAAATAAAAAAATGAACAAAAAAAATAAACAAAAAGGTTAACCAGACAAAAAACACAAACATGGACTTTTGCAAAGGTTTCTTTCAAAGATTACTCACCGATTTCCCGTTGTAGTAATACATTAAAGAGTTGCTGCCCATTCCAGGGACAGGATAGGCGCAATACATTTTAGCTTTTTATGTTCAAAAAAGATATACCAAAGTAGTGTTCGAGATTTCTCCGGACATATATCCAAAGCGTTCAAAGGGGACTAATAATTCTTTCAGTACTGGCCTCCACACACGACCCACTCAGAGGAAACTTATGCAAAGCAGGATTGTACCATTCCCCACTATGAGAAGGGGTGTCCGCCAGAAAGGAGTGGCAAGCGTGGTACATGCCCCTGTTAAGCCTGTAAGTGCTGAGGCAAATAGGAAAAAGGACGAGGGGGAAGGGAGGCAACAGGGAGGTGGGTTTAGAAAGATAAAGGCAAGAGGGCTGGACAGAAAACAAATGCGGATTTGGGAAAAAGACAAGAAATATTTACATCTGCGCACAAAAAATGGATTTTCTGTGGAGGAAATCCACTGATGACTTTACTACTTCATTAATTCAAATGAATTCAAATGAGATAGTAGAATTAAATAAATGAGCCAGCTCTCTTCATAATCCTGTTTTAATCTTTTTGTTTGTGCGATGTTTGAATACGGCTACAGGCAGTGAGGTGAAATATAGCAACTGAATGAGCACCGCCATCTGCCAGTGTTACCTGTTTCTCACAATAATTAGGAGTCAAAAGACAGCTAAAGTGATTACCCAACATGGTAATGAAGAAACCGTCTGAATCTACATGAAGATAGAAAAAAATTGGTTACAGTCAACTGGTGAAATGTATATTATGTTTTGTAGAACAGGACCTAAACTTGAGGAGAGTAAACACTGAGATGTACAGCATGCAACAGCTGCAAAGGAGGTGGCTCGTGATGTCTGAACAGGAAAATAATGCTCCATTTCCTAAACCCTGGGGGCCATAGACTGGGGGAAACACTGAGGGGAAGAAAACATTTAACAGCAATTTTACCATGCATTACTCGTCACTGCGAGCAACACACATCCTCATTAGGAGGGGACACGGTTATGAGAAACGACAAGATATTCCAGTGTGAGACCCCATGACGGTGTGACTGGAGCCTTTCATGTCTGCCACTCAAAGCTTCCTGAACTTAACACAGGTCCGCAGACTCATTGAGAACATTATTGTTATAGAAAGATGAAAGCATCCACTTCCCTAAGAAAACTCTGCCTCTATTATGCCTCTCCTTTCAGTGCTGTTATTATTTATCCCCCCTTTCTTCTCAGAGGCCCTTTTAAACTCTTCCAAAACACTGGCTCAACAT